CCCTAAGATCTATGGTCAGCTTGCAAGGTTTTTCTTTTTCTTGACTTTTTTTTTTCAGTTTCTCTGTATTCCACATTTAAGCATGATCATCCCATATTTATCTTTTTCCTTCTGACTAATTTTGATTAGCATAATCCCTTCCCGCTTCATCCATGTTGCTGAAATGTCATGAGTTTATCTTTTTGATTGCTGAGTAGTATTCCACTATGTGTATATATACAACTTTTTCATCCATTAGTCTGCTTTGGGGGCATTTTGGTTGTTTCCATATCTATCTTGGCAATTGTAAATAGTGCTGCAATAAACATAGGAGGGCAGGTTTCTTTTCGAATGAGTGTTTTTGTATTCTTTGGGTATCTTTGGATAGATTCCTAGGAGTGGAATTCCTGGGTCAAATGGTAGATCAATTTTTAGTGTGGTGAGGAACCTCCACACAGCTTTCCATAGTGGCTGGACTGGTCTGCAGTCCCACCAGTAATGTAAGAAGTTTCCTTTTTCTCCACATCCTTGCCAGTATTTGTTATTTCCAGTTTTTTTAATGTTGGCCAAGGACTGGTGAGTTCTGAATGATGATTTTCCTGTGTGATCTTCCACAGGAGATGTGGTATTTCTCATACATATTTGGTCTTCTTCCAGAGGTCCTGGCTCACAGCTCCCAAAGCCTTGGAAATTCCTTAGTATTGAGAGTGTTAAGAGTGCCTTGAGTGTCTCTTGTTATGTTGATAAAGTGACTCTGGAACAAACACCAGAGGATTAAGGGGGCCTAGTCACCAGGGAAACCAACTGGAACTTTCAGTCCCAACCGCTGACCTCAGGGAGGGGAGAGCAGCTGGACGCCGTGTTCAATGGCCTGTGAGTTTAACAGCCATGCCTTGGTAATGAAACTTCCATAAAAACCCAAGAGGAGAGACTCCAGTTCAGAGAAGATTTGGGGACAGTGGTGCCCCTGGAGAGGAGCTCCACTCCTCTTCCCCCATACCTTGTCCTGTGCTTCTCTAACATCCTCTGTCACTCAAATAGGGTCAGAATAGCATGGGAAAAGGCCTCAGAGCGATAAGGGAGACTCAAGAGATGGGCACAGCAAATTGTAAAGGGAATTAACCAGACACTCCCTGGACTAAGGGCTGTGAAGGACTAACAGGATATTCCGGATGGGCGATAAAGAAAAAGGGACTCTAAGATAAGGGCTGGGACACAAGATGTAATGTTTTTGGGCACAGAGGCATTTGGCAGAGTGAGTGTGACCACTGAGAATTAGCCAGTCACGGGAGACTGATGGGGCTTTAGCATAGTTAGGGAGAGAATGTCTATATTCTCTGAGGCCCAACTCCATTATGGTGTCTTTGCGCCTCCCTGGCTGTGGGCCTGGAAGTCCCACTTTGTTTCTGTTTCTTTTCTCCTTAATAAACTTTTTTCTTTTCATATCTGTTTCTCTAAACAAACTTGCCTCTTTTTGCTTGCTTGCCCGAGAGTCAGCAAAATTCCTGCTCTGGCTTCGTGAGACACCAACCCGTGGTGGTCTCGGGGCTAGGACTCAGTGCTGCCACCGTCTCCTGGGATCCGTTCCTGGCTAGTCTCCCAAGACTAGGCCTGACAACCTGAAATTATGCTAATATTCTTTGTGACAACTCAGACACCTAGTGACTAAAGGGATTTCCCAATTCCTATGTGCTGTTCTAGCAAACTGGAGGTGGGTGTTTGGGAACCTGATTTATAGCAACTAGCTGTTCAGAAGCACAGGTAATAATCTGGTCTTGCCAGGCACTCAAGTCTGACAGAGAAACTCCAGTTTGAAGTCTGGGGCTTGCAACAGACTGAAGTGGAGAGACTCTTGAGAGACTGAGTCCTTAGTCTAAAGAATCCGGGTAGTGTCAGAAATGGGTTGAATTCTCAGCCATCCTGCTGGTGTCCAAGAATTGCTTGTTGGTGTAGGGAAATCTGTCCACCCACCCATTGGAAATTCATCTCAGGACACCAACTACACAGGAAAGCACACAGAGGGCCCCATCAAAATGTAACAATGCGCTTAAAAAGGACTTTTGTTGTGGGCTTTCTCAACACCGTTTCCACTTTTCCCAGCCCATGCCTGTTTTCATTTGGAGTATATACAGCTTTCCTTGTTCAGTACACATGGTCTGGGTATGTCCAGGGGTGAAGAACTGTGACCCATACTTGAGCCAATCAACAAAATCCATCTCCTTGAAACATTATTGTTGGGTCAGGGATGTGCTTGTGACCCAGCACTATCAGTAGCGATACCGGAATTGTAGGTTTTCAGGCCTAGTGTCCCAGCCAGGAACGGATCCCAGGCTGCAGGGGCAGCGCTGAGTCCCAGCCACTAGACCAAGGGTTGGTGTCTCACGAAGCTGCAGCAGGAACTTCGCAGTCGCTCAGGCAAGCAAGCAAGAAGAGGCAGGTTTGTTTAGAGGAAGAAAACGTTTACTGAGGAGAAAAGGAACAGAAATAAAGTGGGACTCCCAGGCCATGGAACCAGGCCAGGGAGTGGCAAGGAAGCCAAAGTGGAGCCGTGTCTTACGGAACATAGACCTTCTTTCCCTAATTATTCTAAAGCTCCACCAGTCTCTTTGTGATTGGTTAGTTTTCGGTTGTCTCACTCATTGCCTGAATGTCTCTGTGCCCAGAACTAAGTCTCTGTGTCCCAGCCCGTATCTTTTTTTCTTCATTGTCCTCTATTTGGAATGTCTTGTTGACCCTAAGTTCATAAAATAAGTCCCTAATGTCTTAAGTTCTGGGGTGTTTGATTAGTCCCCTTTGGAATTTGTTGTCCTTATCTTTGGAGCCTTCCTTCACTCTCCTGTAGTCCCTGCACTGTCCTTGAGGCTGCCTAATTATCCCTAACTTGCCCTAGGATTTATTTCCCCCCTCTACAGTGGAGCCCCTAACTGCCGTTAGGGCAAAGGACGTTGGTCTGGTCAATGACTGCTTCCTGCTGAAAGTGGGCGACGTGGGGAGGCAGTCAGGGCTCCACAGCAGGGCAATGATCTAAGGGAACTTGGAAGGACAGTGTAGGCTTTATAGTGGGTTACATCTGTAGGACCCTATGGAGTTTGATGGTTTCCAGGCAAGAGATGATCTCGATGAGAGCATTGAGGATGTAGGGCCCAAGCAAGAGAAAAATGGAGAAAAGAAAAGGTTTTAGTTTAAGAGTAAGGAGGTCACAAACTCCTTTAACTTTAGCCATCAGCAGGTCTAGGGCTTTGGGGTTTTACATAACCACTGAGACTAGGGATTTTAAGGAGCATTGCTAGGCTACTATTGCAAACACCTGGAGGTGTAGAAGCCAAAATGACAGAATCAGTGAGAACTAGGGCTTCAGTACCATTTTTATCTTTTGTAGCAGCAGCTAGGAAAGCCAATAGTGGCTGAGGCTGCTAGTTTGGAATTTAGTTACAATTTTTTATCCTAATAGAGGAAGTTAGGAAAACAAAACTAAAAATGTATAAACAAGTAGCCTTGTGCTGTAAAGTGTCCTTGCTAAGGTTGGCCATTTGTACTAGTGAGGGGAACAATCGAGTGGGACTCAGCACTGCCACTGCAGCCTGGGATCCGTTCCTGGCTGGAACACTAGGCCTGAAAACCTGCAATTCCGGTATCAGTAGTAAGAGCCAGCTGAGACTCAATCTAGAATGTTGGTTGGACTAGAATGTTGGTTGGACTTTTGCAAAAGTAGGCTTGATCTTTCCAACTGATTTTGCACCCCAGAAGCACAAAGATTGGCACAAGTTCAATGGCCTCATCACCTGATAGGCTAAACAGAGGCAGTCAGACATGAAGGTAGACACTGTCTAGCTCCTAATAATGTTATCTGAGCTCTGCTCAGGCTGTGCCTGCACTTCTCTGCCCCAATGCTTTTCACTAACTTGAGTCAATAAAACCCTTCTTTTGCTTAAGCCTTTTTGGTTGGGATTTCTGACACTTGCAATCAAAGGAATCCTAAGAAACGCAGGATCTAAAAGATACTGGACATGTTTCTGTTTCACTTTGCATGAGCTTAGTCACTTTTCAGATTCTTGGGATGATCATAAGCGTGTGTTTTCTGAGCCCAAGGAGGAAAACAGTGATGATTATTAAAACAGCTTTTGTGATTTGGGCAATCAGGGCTTCTAAGATTTTCTCAATAATTTGTAGAATGTAAAATTCATTGCTGTACACTTCAGTTTTGTCTATAGGAAGTGAGGATATTTGTCACACTACTTAGGCAAGAGAGACTTAATAAGAATGTGACCAGTACTGTGTATGTTATTTTCCTTCCAAGATGCTAGTGACATTTTGCCATGTCTGCAAGTGCCTTTTAATATTTCTCAGTCACTAGACTGACTTAACCAATAGTGAGATGGGTAGACTAAGGAGAGTCCTACTCTGGGAAATTGTAGGGGAAAGAGATAAATGTTGCAGAGTTCAGGAAGCCTGAGATAAGTGTCCTAATTTCTGTCCAACGATAACTGTTTTCATGTTCAAGAGAGTTAAAATAGTAAGCTGCTTTTCTTTCTGCTCCAAACATTTTACAAATGGGATCTTTGGATTTTTACTTTTTTTTCTTTTTTTAAAGATTTATTTATTTATTTATACAAGCACTGGGTACAGTCAGAAGCGCAGGAGGGTGAGAGAATTCACCAGAGCCAGAGCAGGGAGCAGAACAGGCAGACTGACAAAATACACTGCTGAGGGGAGCAGCGGGTACGGCAGGAGAGGTCTGTGCACCATGTGGGACCCTCCCCGGTGGCCCGGGGATGGAACCGGCACGGCAGAGGCTGCAGGGCAGCTTTGCAGCCCAGCGCTTAACCACTGCACTACCAGGGGAGGCCCTGAATTTTTACTTTTCAAAACCCATTTTGATCCTACCAAATTTGTTTTTTTCTAAAATGTACTAGCTGTGTTTATTGTTACCTGGCAATGGAGAGAAAATCTGTACATTTAAAGTTTAAGTCTTCACAATGAAGAAAAGCCTTCCCAGAAACTTTAAAAAAAAGAAAGAAACCAAGCCAGCAGAGATATAAACATTAATTTTATTTCCATTCCTAAAATGTATGATTTGGTTGATTTGACATTTAAAATAGTCCCTTTGCAAAAAATCTCAGAAAATAAACTATATAAAATACAAATTATTGCAGAAAATCTTAATCTTAAACCTTATGGCTGACCAATCTAACTCTTGTTTTTAAGCACTTGTGATGATTTTCCATAGTTGCAAGGAATAAAAACATAGTCATTTCCATAATTGCAAGGAATAAAAAAATCATCTTGGGGCAGGAATGTAAATTTGATCAGAATAATAATATAAAAATACTTGTTTACTTCTCTACAAGCTTAACAATTGCCTGTAATTAGTGCACCTGATTACACCTGGTTTTCCTAGTTAGAGTTGACCTTTTCTTGACTGCAGTCCACTATATTCAGTAAAGTACATGCTAGATAACAAAATGAACCCAAGAACTTAACTGCCTCAAATAGTTTTATGGATCTACTCAAGTGTTAAGTACAATATTTATGTTAAGAATTAAGACTGGAATGCTGAAGAACAAACAATACTAGAATAATCCATGTAACAAAGCAGGGCAGAACTAGGTGTATCTTCCTGGTACATTCATTTTGAAAGCCAGCCCAGCGATTACTCAGAATAACAAATCAATTCAGATTTCTATTTTTAAAGTCTGTGCTATTTAGATTTGGATTTTCGACTAGTATTTCTTTATTCAATTTGTGAAAAATCTTTTCACTTTTCTCCTGCCAGTCAGTCTTTTGAGTGAGTTAACTGCCTGTTAGCACCAAACTTTCAAAGAGGGAAAAACTAAAAGTTTTTGGGTAACAATGTAAGTAAAATAGTTGGACTGTTTTTGAAGTTACTTAATAATGTAAAGTTGAGAATGGTAGACTTTAAGTAGGAAATTCCACTGTTTGCTTTTAAGAGAGTTCGAAGGTGATTTTTGTGTGGGTTTGGTTTTGATTCTTTGGAGAAAATGGCTAAATAGGTCACAAAATAAACATAGGAGTGAAATTCAGTTTTACCTTTAAAAAAAAAAAAAAAAAAAAAAATGGTTTCTCTTCTGCCAAGCAGTATATTAAGTGTAAAACTGAAGCCTTAAGTAATCTGAGCCATTCACCTCTCTATTCCCCCTTCACTATTTCACAGCATATCCATAGATGTGGGGGCGCACCAGCTCCCAGGGCAGCGGGGCCTGTAGGTGCTGGAGCTTCAGCTTAGAGAAACCTGCCCTCTCCAGCGCCTTCCAGCTTTCTCTGGTCAGGTTGCACCCATCAAACAGAAGGAACCAGGCTGGATTCAGGACTTGCTGCCAGAAGTAATTCCAGGTAGACCGTTCAGCTACTACGTGCTCCATGAAATAAAAAGCCCCTCCCTGAGAAAGAAAAACACATTTCAAGAATTTTAGTTTTTGGAAAAGAGATATTTAAAATGACAGAAGTGGGCCTCCCCGGTGGCGCAGCGGTAGAGCGCTGGGTTGCGAAGCTGCCCGCAGCCTCTGCGGCGCCGGTTCGATTCCCGGCTGCTCCCCGGCCACCGGAGGAGGGTCCCACATGGTGCGCAGACCTCTCCTGCCACCCGCTGCTCCCCTCAGCAGTGTACTTCGGTCCTTCTGCCTGTTCTGCTCCCCGCTCTGGCTCTGGTGAATTCTCTCACCCTCCCGCGCTTCTGACTGTACCCAGTGCATGTATAAACAAAACAAATGAACAAACAAATAAATAAATAAATAAAACATGCCTCTATAAAAAAAAAAAAAAAAAAAAAAATAAAATGACAGAAGTTTCAGATTTTAATGGCCCTAAAGGCCAACTTGAGGAAAAGAGATGGATAAATGAAAACTTACTGAGCCACCTTTTGATTTATAGTTTCATCTTTTGTCGACTTTTGTAAGGTTGCCAATCAAACAGTTAACACATTTTATGATCATAAAAGTGATACATAACAGTAGCTGCACACAGGTGCTATACCTTAATGCCTATCACCTGTTAACTCGCTTAATCCTCACATCAACATATTTGGTAAGCCTTTGTAAGGTCAGGAATGGCCCGGAGCAGGTTTTCTAGGATCCAGCAGACCAGGTAAAGGAGGAGTCAGAGTCCTCAGTGGTTTTTTGCAGGTTTTTAATTGGGATTTAGCGGGTACACGGCAGGCAGGGGTGCTGGGGGATTGGGGGCTGGCAGGCCTCCCAGCCCCCAGCAGGTCTTCACTCTGGGCTCTCCGGCCTTCTCTCAGCTCCTGCTTCTCTTGCTTCTCTCTCAGCTTCTGCTGGCATCCCCTTAACTCCGCCCTTAAAAGCCCAGTGGAATCCCATCTACCTAGACCCACACCCTACTCCAGGTGCCCGCCATCAGGCATGCTTTCGGGACCACAAGGTTCTGTCATCTATCCTAATGGCGGGAGGGCAGAAAAGCCTGATACCTTTTACCTTACCCTACAGCGTTATTATTATCATTCCTGATTTTATAGATGAGGAAACTAAGTCATAAAGAAAATAATCAACTTTTCGAAGGTCACAAGCTTGTAAATACCAGACAAGTTTTGAACCAAGATAGTCTGGCTGCAGGGGTTGGCAAAACCGTGTCATCAAAATTTTAGAGAACACAGAAAAATTTTAAAAGAAACAATCACGCACCACCCATCACTGTGGGATACTTTTGTTAGGATTTTGTGCATACTTTTATATGAATATTGATTTTTTCCTAAAACTACTATTGTAACATATATTCTGTTTTGTAATCTGTTTTTTTTTTTTTTTTTTTTTTATAGAGGCATGCTTTATTTATTTGTTTGCTGGTTTCTTTGTTTTGTTTATACATGCACTGGGTACAGTCAGAAGCGCGGGAGGGCGAGAGAATTCACCAGAGCCAGAGCGGGGAGCAGAGCAGGCAGAAGGACCGAAGTACACTGCTGAGGGGAGCAGCGGGCGGCAGGAGAGGTCTGCGCGCCATGTGGGACCCTCCTCCGGTGGCCGGGGAGCAGCCGGGGATCGAACCGGCGCCGCAGAGGCCGCGCGCAGCTTCGCAGCCCAGCGCTCAACCGCTGCGCCACCGGGGAGGCCCCTGTAATCTGTTTTTAACATTATTTTAAAACATGATTTTATCATCTGTCAGAGAAGGGATTAACATCCAAAATGAATAAATAACTCATACAACTCAACAATGAAAAAAAACAAACCTAATTAAAAAACGGGCAGTGGGGCCTCCCTGGTGACACAAGGGGTTAAGACGCAGCACTAGGATGCTATCTGTGGCACGAGTTCGATCCCCGGCCAGGGAGTTACCCACATGGCACAGCAGACCTCTCCTGTCTCGCCCACTGTTCCCCTCAGCAGTGGATTTCAGTAGATCTGCCTGTTCTGCTCCCCACTGTCTCTGGTGAATCCTCTCACTCCCAGCACCTCTGGCCTGTACCCTGATTCTTGTGTGCATAAATAAATAATCTTAAAAAAAGTTCCATAGAATAGGACAAGAGACAGGAGAGGTGGCTTATAGCACACATTCAGCCAGAGTGCCTGTCACCCACTGAAGCTGATGTTCAGTAAATACCTGGATATGCAAATTTGGGGTCAGAAGAGGGAGCTGAGCTAACTATCTAGGTTTGGAAACCATCTGTGTATTTGTGGTAATTGAAAACTTGCAGAGTCATGAGATTGCCCAGGGTGAGCCAAAAAAAGAAACTCTAGCATTTAGGGGATGGCCAGCCAGCAAAAGAGGTAGAAATGTTGATGTCAGAGAGAGAAAGAGCCCCAGTGACAAGCACTGTGATGCGATAGCTGCATTACAGAAAGTCCTGCAACTCTGGGAAGATTCTTTTTTTCCTTCACTTGAAGTAACATTGCATTCTGACATTATATGCTTCAGGTGTGCATCATTAAAAATCAATACGTGTGTCTGCTACATTAAATTCACCACCGAGAGTCCAATTCTATCCACGTACAACTTTCCCCTTTTACCCTCTTGGGTCCCCTTCTTATCTGGTAACCACTAATTGGACAAGTTTCTTAATCTCTGTGAGTCTGTTTCCTCAAGCCAACATGAAGATGCTTGCCTTAAAGGACTTGTGAGGGCTAGAAGAACATGTGAGAAAGTGCCACAGCAGAAAGTAGGTGCTTTGCAGGAGCTAAGGAAGACTACAAGAATATGATCCCGCTAAGAGTATTACCAGGACTAGAAGAACAGATTAATTGTCCCTTGCCCTGCAGGGGTTTTGTAAGATTAGTGCCACTGCAGTGCCTGCTCTTGGGATGTAAGGACTGGCTCAGCATAAGAATCAGGACTTTTTCCTTTACTTCTTTGATGCTGACCTATCCTTGAACCAGAGACAGAATTGTATTACTGCCCTATCACCAAATCCTTTTTGTCCTCAGGAACTTCCTCAACTAGAAGAATAAAACTGGGCATTACATAACATCCTTTTAGCCTAGAACAGTAAATTCAAAGGTTAAAGTATTTTATGTTCCAACATGTTTAGAATAAAATCATTTTAAATTAGTTTTTGAAAACTAAAGGCAATATGTGAAAATTACATATTAGTATAAAGATTTTCAAGCCAAACAAGAAGGTATAAAATGAAAACTAATTTCTCCCCTGCAATCCCACTTCTAAGAGGTAACCACTGTCAATAGCTTGTCTGTCATTCTATCAGTATGTCGTTCATATGTGTTATATAATAACACATATAATGGACTATATGGAATATATAATAGAATAAGCTCCCAATATTCTACACCTTGATTCCTTTTTTTTTTTTTAAGATTTATTTATTTATTTATACAAGCACTGGGGTATGGTCAGAAGCGCAGGAGGGTGAGAGAATTCACCAGAGCCAGAGGGGAGAGCAGAGCAGGCAGACTGACGAAGTACACTGCTGAGGGGAGCAGCGGGCGGCAGGAGAGGTCTGTCGCGCCATGTGGGACCCTCGCTCGGCGGCCGGGGACGGAACCGGTGCTGCAGAGGCTGCGGGCAGCATCGCAACCCAGTGCTCAACGGCTGCGCCACCGGGGAGGCCCTTGATTCCTTTTTTTTTTTTATGTTAACATTATTTCTTGGAGATTTGTTTTTCATAATAGCATAGATAATTCTTCCTTGTCATTTTGTCACCTGCACGGAATCCTTTATACTTTGTGACAATCTACTTGAATAGCTTCCTATTGTTGGCCCTTTGGGTTATTTCCAGTTTGAGCAATTACAAGTACTGTAATTAATATCTCTGCATGTGGATAAATATTTGCATATTTGTGCAGGATAGCTACAGGATAAATCCTAGTGGCTAAAAGAGTATGTGTACTTAAAATTTTGATGCTATCAAACTGCCCTCCAAAGAAGGTACTACCTCCAACGTGCATGGGGTGCCCCCTTGTCGCCTTGTGGGACGGCAACATTGGGAGTGGCGCAGGGTGGAGGAAAAATAACTCAAAGTTCAAGTAGTGAGAAAGAGAGAGAGAGGCCTAGAAGAGCAACATCTCTGGAGATATAGTGCCAATTTCCAGGCCTGTCTCACATTTATTTGGGGGTCAGAATTCAAGGAAGGTGGGCAGGTCCATGGAGAAATGTGCTTGGTGGGGATGTAGATGGGGATGTATAGTAGTCTGGCACAAGCTGGGGCGGAGTGAATAGGGGCTGTTGCTTAGGCCTCCACTATTGCTGATCAAAACATCCTATCTCAGGCCTCCCTGGTGGTGCAAGGGATAAAGCACAGCGCTGTGAAGCTACCCACATGGCACAGCAGACCTCTCCTGATTCACCCGCTGCTCCCCTCAGCAGTGTACTTCGATCAATCTGCCTGTTCTGTTCCCCACTCTGTCTCTGGTGAGTCCTCTCACACACACACCCCGCCCCCGCACCTCTGGCCTACATCCCAGTTCTTGTATGCATAAATACATAAATCTTTAAAAACAAACAAAACAAAATATCCTGCCTCTAGTCCCTGTTAACACTTAACTTCCTGTCAAGGGGTACAGCTGGTGATACCAATCTGGCCATAACGTTGCCTGCTGTTTTCAGCGGATCTCCTCATACCAAGACTTTTTCCTGGTCCAGGATCCCTGCCTGACTCTACATTGAGCTTAACCAGCAGCAACTTTGGGCACCAAGCAAAATCTCAAGAACAAGGGGAGATGGCGGATCCCCACCCCATCTCCCATCCCCACTCCAAAACTATATTGACCTTAAAAGTTTCTGACATTTGGGCCTCCCCGGTGGCGCAGCGGTTGAGCGCTGGGTTGCGAAGCTGCCCGCGGCCTCTGCAGCGCCGGTTCGATCCCCAGCTGTTCCCCGGCCACCGGAGGAGGGTCCCACATGGCGCGCAGACCTCTCCTGCCGCCCGCTGCTCCCCTCAGCAGTGTACTTCGGTCCTTCTGCCTGCTCTGCTCCCCGCTCTGGCTCTGGTGAATTCTCTCACCCTCCCGCGCTTCTGACTGTACCCAGTGCATGTATAAACAAAACAAACAAACAAACCAGCAAACAAATAAATAAATCATGCCTCTATTAAAAAAAAAAAAAGTTTCTGACATTTAATATGTAAAAACAGTCACTTGCTTTAATTTGTTGTTTTAATTGAGAATAATGTTGAGCATGTTAATCACATAATTGGCTAGTTTTACCTATATTTCTGTTCCAGTTCTTTGCCTATTTTTCTCTTGTGTTTTCCTTACTGATTTAAAAAGTCCCATTGATCTTATTGACTTGTTTCTTTTAATATAAAGGAAGTTAACCCTTTGTCTGCGAGCCCCAGAGAATACTTTTTCCAAGTTTGTTTTCACACCTTGGTTTTTTATACTTTTTTCTTGCCAGAAGCTTTAAAGTCTAAACTATTCAGATTTATCAATCTTTCCTGTCCTGTTCTCAGGCTTTAAAAAATTCAAGTGTCTTCTCTATAGTTTTATGTTAGAATTTTTTTTTTAAAGATTTATTTATTTAATTATACAAGCACTGGGTATAGTCAGAAGCACGGGAGGGTGAGAGAATTCACCAGAGCCAGAGAGGAGAGCAGAACAGGCAGACTGACGAAGTACACTGCTGAGGAGAGCAGCGGGCGGCAGGAGAGGTCTGTGGCGCCATGTGGGACCCTCGCCCGGCAGCTGGGGATTGAACTGTAGCAACCCAGAGCTCAACCGCTGCGCCACCGGGGAGGCCCTGTTAGAATGTTTTTTAAAGATTTATTTATGCATACAAGAACTGGGGTACAGGCCAGAGGTGTGGGGGGTGTGTGTGAGAGGATTCACCAGAGACAGAGTGGGGAGCAGAACAGGCAGATTGAAATATACTGATGAGGGGGGCAGCAGGCGAGGCAAGAGAGGTCTACTGCGCCATGTGGGTAGCTCCCTGGCCGGGGATCTAACTCCTTCTGAAACTGCCTTAGATGTGGGGTCACTGCTAGCCAGGCACCCTCGCCCCGCACTCACCGGCCGTAGCACCCTGCGCACCTCCTGGAGAATCTTCTCCTGGCTGTTCACTGAGCACAGAACCAGGGTGCAAACCACCACGTCCACGGAGCCGTCAGCCACCTGGTGCATGTTCTCCCCCACGGCCACTATGAAGTGCTCGAACTGCAGGTGTCGGTTCTTGGCAACACTATCGATCAAGAACTTCTCAAAGTTGGGGTTGGGGTCAATACAGGTTACCTTGCATCCGGGCGGGTAGAACTTGAAGTTGGCCCCGGTGCCACACCCCACCTCCAGCAGGGAGAGCTTCCCGGAGGGACCCGCGAAGTCCTGCAGGTTGCTGAAGAGCTCCCGCTTCTTGCTCATCATCTGCTCATTATACATCACGGTGAACTTTTGCATGAAGTAGGGGAACCATTTTTTACATATCCAACTCCACACCCCCAGAAAGTTCAGCAGGTATATGGGAAGCGTCAGGACGCCGACAGCCAGTCGGAGGATAAAGATAGTAAGTGCCATTACTCAGAAGAGGGAAAAAAAACAGAACAAAACAAAAAAGTTAGAGACTCAACTCCTTTACTTTGCCCGATGAAAGTGGTGCTGAAAACACCCTGCTCCAGTCAAGTACAAGGCAAGCGTCCACTTCACCTAATTAGTAGGCAGCTAGCAAAAGCTGACTCATTGCTTAATTTTCATGAAGCCAAATGAGAGGGTTCCCAGCTTCTCTTTAGAAGGAAAGTTGAATTACCTTATTGCCACTCCAATCCTATTTCCCCTTCTCTGGGCTTGCAGAGGACAGCTAGTTTCCCACTGGAGTTTTATATGCACACGGCACTCCGACCCCATCCGGGCTCCCAATGGCCTCTTCAAGGAAAGCAATCTGTGGGTGGAGCCAGGTCAAATCAGAAGGTTGCTGCCCGGGCTCCCTTACAACGTCACCACCCCGCCTACTCCATCTCTGCCCGCCCCCCACCTACCCCCCTCAACCCCCCCAACACCCCTCTATCAGCCTCCACACACATGCACACATGAACACCCCTCCCTGTTTTTTTAAAAAGGAAGTGAAGGGATATGCCTGCCTGGCCACACATAGTTAAGAATTTTCCCTTGTGCATTCTCGGCTGAAGCTCTCCTACGTTGATAACAGGATTATTCAGCCCGAGTCACTGTTTGGGAGCCATCCATGTTTTAAAGGAAAAGTTTCAACTTCAAATTGTGCCCAGCTACTGCATTTCTCAGCTAATGTACTTACAGTAGCCCCAGGATATTCACATTTGGGAGCCTAAAGATTTCAGAAAATAGCTTGAGGCATCCCTCTTCTTTTAACCAGCAAGTCTGAGCACCAGGGTGGTCAGGGGAAACAGTTTAAAAAATAATGGCCGTGTTGGGGCCTCCCCTGGTGGTGCAACGGTTGAGCGCTGGGCTGCGAGGCTGCCCGCAGCCACTGCAGCACTGGTTCGTTCCCAAAAAAAAGAAAAATAATGCCCATGTTTTCTTTTCTCAACTGGGTGGTAGATACAGGGAATGTTCTGTGGTTCATTAATTGTTATACCCCAGGCATTTTATAAATATTATATGTATTCCATTTTCAACAGCTTTCTTTTTTTTTTTTGATTTTTTTTTTTTTAATACAGGCATGTTTTTTCTTTATTTGTTTGCTTGTTTGTTTGTTTTGTTTATACATGCACTGGGTACAGTCAGAAGCACAGGAGGGTGAGAGAATTCACCAGAGCCAGAGCGGGGAGCAGAGCAGGCAGAAGGACCGAAGGACACTGCTGAGGGGAGCAGCGGGTGGCAGGAGGGGTCTGCGCGCCATGTGGGATCCTCCTGCGGTGGCCGGGGAGCAGCCGGGGATTGAACCGGCGCCGCAGAGGCCGTGGGCAGCTTCGCAACCCAGTGCCCAACCGCTGCGCCACCGGGGAGGCCCTCAACAGCTTTCTTGAGGTGAACTTGACGTGCAATAAATGTACATACTTAGAGTGTGTTGTCTGATAAGTTTTGATCCGTGCACATCTGTAAAACCATTTCAAGTTCCTGAAGCTAGCACCTGCAAGTTTCCTCTCACCCTTGTGACCCCATCCCAAGGCTTTCTCTCACCAGACATGAACTTGCATGTCCCGGCAGCATTCATGCATGTGGAGTCCTGTACTTGGTCTTGCATCCTTTGCTTAACATAACTGCCAGTTACTCAGCATAACTGCCTTACAGTTATGCTGATGATTTTATCAGATAAAATCATCAGATGATTTTATTGCTAAGTAATATTCCATCCTATGAATGTGTAAGAGCTTGGCTATCCATTCACTATCAATGGACATTTCGGTTGTTTCTAGTTTTTGACTATTGACACATGGTTTCGTTTCTCCTACAAGGATGATGTAGGGGCTACCTGGTAGGTGTGTCTTTAACTTTTAAGTCTTGTCCCACTAGCAGATTACGAGAGCTTTAGTTGTTCTACTTCTGATAAGGGCTAGGAAGCAGGGTTCAGGCAAGGTGCTATGCACGGTACAGTAGGAAATCCGCACACACGTTGTTTATGGCCTGTCTGCTCTGAGTTAATCTTCCAGCCCAAGGACACATGTGGAGGAGTGCACGGAGCCAGTGCTGCGTGAAGACCAGCCTCTTCGCTGGGGCGAGCGTGAGGCCTGGTGTCCAGCAGAGCGATAAGGAGCTCTGGAGCTGGACATTACGGCTCCTGGCTGCAGCGAAGGTCTGCTTACTGCTGAGCAACTGTCTTTGTTCAACTCATTATAAAAGCCAACTGGAAATTTCTTTAGGATGTTAACCCTCATCTTCTAGATTGTCGGCTGTCTGAAGCTCACCTTAAAGAGTCCTGTCTCTATTGGCATTTGGTGGTGATAGGTGGCATGAGCTGTGGCCTTCAGGTTACATTGCTAGTGACTCATCCGGGAAGTCTCCAGGACTCTCTGGTAAGTCATTTTGAGTTGGTGGGGAGTCCCACTGGCTGCCTGGACTGGGGGTGGCAGTGGGAGGTTGGATTCTGGTCTGGATGGCTCCCAGCAGCACTGCCAGGTGATTTCACCTGGCTCCTATACCTCCTGTTGCTCTTATCAAATCAAATTGAATCACTGTGCTTTCTGTTCTGTGGTTTTTCTGATCTGGTTCCCTGATTACAGCCAGTTTCACCTCTGGTTTGAAGTACCTTGCTGTTCTGGTCTGCTGTGTTCTGTCACAGAGCTCTTTCTAGTTAGAATGGGCGGTATAGACTCTATTCCCAATAACTCTTCAGTATAGCTGGAGTGGGGGGTACAGAGAAATTGTTTCAGTAACTTCTTTTTTTCTTTCTTTTTTTTCAGTTACATATTTTTATACCACTTTCTGGTCTTCTTTGGTCTTCTTGTTTGTTTTTCCCTGCGAATTGGACTGGATCCCAACATTTTACTATTTAAATGTATTGCATAAGTTTGCTTCTGACAAGCAACAGCATCTCACAGACACCCCTATGCATAACTACTTACCTGGTGATCAGTTTCTGCCAAAAAATTTGGAAAACAGAAATACCGCAAGATCAACTACCTAAACAGTGGATAATCCTTGGAAAGTATTCCTGGTAACACCAACGGCAGTGAAGCTTGCTGGAGTGAAGCCTTGGCAATATGGCACCAGATTGAAGTTGCCTGAGGATCCATGGGCCACCAAGAGCATGGGAGACTTAAAACTGATTTTTGAAAGACAATCACTCTTATGCTTGTACTAATAACTTGCCCCTGTCCCTCTGGGGAGACAAGGAGAAATCGTGTGGGTGTATCTGGTATGAAATGTTCTGAGTATCTCTAAGTTTTGCCTTGCAGGTGGGATTTAACATTGAGCAGATCTTAACCTCAGGCCCTGTGGGGGTGTGCACTCCTTGAGGGTCTGAGGAATTACACTTTGTTTCAGCATTTGGATAAGCCCATGACTTACCTTGATATCTAGAATTGGGTGCCTAGTGTAACTAAAAAGGACAGAGAAATGTTCACTTTAAAACCGGCAAATATCTCACCTGCCAAAGAATGTGTTTTTTTCTCAGGAAGTAAGAGAAAGTGTCTGAATGTGGTGGTGGAGAATCACATGACCTGCAAGACTACCTCTTAAACTCTGTCTTATATTTTGATAAAGTCCAATTTACTTATTTTTTCCTTTTATAGCCTATACTTTCAGGGGCCATTAAGTATAGGCCCAATGTAAAAGTTACTGGGGAATTCATTGAGCATAATGGAATCACCATCCAGGGAATTCTGGGAATCATTCTCCAGGGCACAAAACCAAAAAAGCAGTTGGACTGATGCTGGCTTAGGTGGGAATGTCAGTAGGTCTGGCCGTGCCATTGGGAGGTTTTGCATATCATGAAACTATCCTAAAAAATCTAATGGCTAGTCAAATCTATGCTGAAGGGCTACATAAACTTCATTCAATTCCTTAGCCAAAGTTGTTATGGATAACTGAATAGCCCTTGACTACCACCTACCTGAACAAGGAGTCTGTGCTGTAGCTAATTCCTCCTACTGTACACAGATAAATAACACTAGGACGGCTGAATCTAACATGAAAGAGATACATGATAAGACCAGATGGCTACATGACTTAAAAATTCTTCCAGTTTAACAGTTTGGGGAGCCATAAGGAAATAGATACCGAGAGCCACCTGGCTCCTCCCATAACTAGGATTTCTAGTTTGGACCCTGCCTTCTGAAGCTAATGGCTCAGCAGGTGTCCACTAGACTACAGTTCACAACTGTATATGCCACAGCATGATGAACATTTGCATATCAGCCATACAGATCCTAGGCCTTATCTTAACCCAGCGATGAAAGTTCACTACTCTAATCCAGGAATAAACAAGGACTCTTCTCAGCAGTAAACAGCTACAGAAAATTGACCTGTGCCCTTAACCCCTCAAGAATGAGGAGTATAGGGCTTTGGGGGATTTTTTTTCTTAATCTCTCCTTGGTGGTGGGGGTGGGGGAGGGGTTGTTGCCCTGAAGACAGACGTCTGACAAAGCTGACTTGTATTATCAGGAAAAACCCTTAAAACTATTTAGAGTTGTTTGTTAAGGGTCTTATAGAACTTCTGGCTTAAAATGATTAAATCCTAAAGCAACAAAGAGAGGAAAGGACCCTCAGTGACCTAAAATTACCTTAGGCTGAATAACATGTATTTGCATAATAAAATCCCGCCCAAGGGGGTCCTTCGCCACCATTTTCTACATGTGATCTGTTATGAAACTACACTGCCTGGGCAGCCAAGATTGCAGACATTCTACCCTGTCGCTGCCCTGTCCAAACACCAATGCTTCTATAAACATCTTAATATCCTAACAGTGCTTTGGAAGTTTTGACTCCTTGCTTGTTCATGTAATAGAACTCTCAATGTGGTCTGGTCTTTTGACGCAGACCAAGCAATCAGCCCTTAGTGTATGGTAACAAAACAGGCTTTGAGAACTAGAAACAACATGAAATTCAAACGAGTAATATAAACAAATTAATTTGAATAAAATAAGATCAAACTTAAAGGGAGAGTTTTATTAATTTAACAAAAGAACAGCTTTCAAATCAATTATAAATTTTATCATTTGGTATTTATATACAAAGTATGCACTTAAGTGAATATTTGATACAAACTCTAGGAAAGTGTTCTAAATGCAACAGATACCTCCAGAAGCATGTGATTCAGTGCCAAATTTATAACCATATATACAATATGTCACAATCCTTTTATTCCAAAATTGTTCACATGAAAACTCTGAAGTGGACAATAACTTGCAAAAAGAATAGATGATTTTCATTATATGGAACATGGGGGGGTCACCATAAAAAATATTCTTCAGAATTTCTTTATGGAGTTAGTAAGACAACAGAACTTAAGAACACAAGGACCTGTCCCAATAGAACATGGATGTTGGCTATGCCATTGCTTTCCAGGTTGAGGTGCTCTGTCAGCCATTTTTGGTAGAAGGCCGGCCCGCTATACACACCAGGAAAACCTTTTCGACCACAGCCGTGTCCGTAACTGGTTACTCCCATTACAAAAAATCGCTTATGTTCTGGTAAGTAGCACATTAATGGTCCACCACTATCACCCTATCAAAAGAGTCCCAAAATAGCGTTAGTTACTTTTAGTAGTGTTTAAGCAACAGTAAAGTTGGAATAAATTAACCACATTAGACATTTCAATATACCTACAAAAATCCAAAGATTTTGAATTTTATATTCCAACTCAGAAGTATTTAGTCTGGCATGGAAGAGGATCACACAGCAGGTGGATAAACTTCTATTTGTACAATTTTGAACCCAGAAAGCAATATATCCTTTTTTTTTTTTTTAGGTACAATTACTCAGGAAAAATATAATTTAGGAAGTGTGCAAAATACTGTAAATTTGTCTTTTAGGATACTTCTATTGCCTAATGCTATGTACAAAGATGTATTAAGGAATGAAACACTACTCAGCTATTAAAAAGATGAAAACATGCCTTTTGGAACTAAGTGAAGAAGTCAGAAAATGAAAGACAATTACCAGATGGTCTCACTTATTTGTGGAATAAAAAAAACAGAGAAAACAAGCTGGCAAAACACATCAAAAATAACTCTTAGGTTCTGAAAGAAGTGGCACTGGAGCTTAAATGGTGGTAAGTGTAGTATGTACACACATCAAGGTATGAAGATGTACTCCAAAATTAGTTTTATAAGTGACTGGATTATTAATGTTTGATTGAATAAAAGATACCGGATGGATTAGTTTAGGGGTGTGTCTGTGTGTGTGTGAGCGTGATTGTGTGTATGTGTGTGTGTGTGTGTGTGTATGTGGTTTTCTAGTTAGAAGAAAAGTTATTGGGCATCTTGTAAGATAGGGAATCTAAATGGTAACGTTGGCTAATGGAGGATAACAGGAAGTAGCAAATCTGTCATTGTTTCTACAAGACTATTAATGTACCAACATTATTTTTTAAGGACTATTCATCACCAGAAACCACCAGGACACTGAGATAACTGCTTCTGTGCCTAAAGATTAGAGTATGTTTCTTTTTTTTTTTTTTTTAAAGATTTATTTATTTATTTATACAAGCACTGGATATAGTCAGAAGTGCGGGAGGGTGAGAGAATTCACCAGAGCCAGAGCGGGGAGCAGAGCAGGCAGAAGGACCGAAGCACACTGCTCAGGGGAGCAGCAGGCAGCAGGAGAGGTCTGCGCTCCATGCGGGACCCTCCTCCACTGGCCGGGGAGCAGCCGGGGATCGAACCAGCGGTGCAGAGGCTGCCGGCAGCTTCACAACCCAGCGCTCAACCGCTGCGCCACCAGGGAGGCCCTAGAGTATGTTTCTAAGGTGGTTCTAATTCTCTAGAGAAGGAAGGCATTGCATAATTATTTTTTGATGATGAGAATGCACTTATGAATGCAATGAAATTGAATTGGATTCTTTGCTGTTTTACTCAGCAATATTATTACGGAAAAGGACACAGAAAGATAAACTCTGGATTTCAGACATCAGAATAAGTAGGCAAAGATCACCGCATGAGACACTGTTTACTTCTGATAAATTCAGAAGTAAAAAAAGAAAATAAAAATGAAAAAAGACACAAAAAGCATGAGAGAAAATAAAATATAAACTGGACTTCATAAAAAAAATCGAAAACTTTTGTGCTACAAATTATAACATCAGGAGAATAAAAAGAGTCAATAGTCAATCACAAAATATTAAAAGAAAGAAAATATTAAACAGAATATTTTAATATTTTAATATTTGCTAATCATAGATCTAGGAAGGGCTTGTATCCAGATTATATAAATAATACTGTGAGTTTCTAATAAAAAGATAAATAATTTTGAAATGGGCAAAGGATTTGGATATCTCTAAAGAAAAATAAATGACTAGTAGACATAGTAACAAGCACATGCAAAAATGCTCAACATTGTTCATCATTAGGGAAATGCAAATTACAAAGATAATTAGATAGCACTTCATGAACCCACAAGGATGGCTATAATCAAAAAGACAATAACAAGTGTTGACAAGGATGTGGAGAAATTAGAACCTCATACATTGCTGGTGAGAAAATAAACTGGAGCAGTCACTTTGGAATATAGTCTGGAAGTTCTTCAGAATGTTAAGTATTGACTCAGCAGTTCAACTCAGGTGAAATTTCCAAGAGAAATAAAGACACACCCACACATAAAAATACACACACAATTTTTCCAGCAACATTACTCATAACAGCCCCAAAGGGGAAGTGGTCCAAATACACATCAACTAATTGGTGGTTGAATAAAGTGTGACACTTCCATACAATGGTATATTATTTGCCAATAAAATGAGTAAAATATTAACACAAATTACAATATGAATGAACCTTGAAAACAGTATGTTAAGTGAAATAATCCATATATTGAATGGTTCCATTCATATAAAATTTCAAGAATAGGCTAAGGGCAGTGATTCCTAATGCATGCAGGTCATTTTTAAGGTTGACAAAGTGTACTAAAATTGGATTGTAGAGATGGTTGTATGTTTTATAAATATACTGGGAAAAAAACAACAAACCACTGAGTTGTATACCTTCAGTGAGTGAATTGTATGTATGGAAATTACAACTCAAAAAAGGTGGTAACAGAAAGGAAAAAAAAAAGATTCAAGGCAAATTTTGTTGAAGGTTGACCATGATTATGGAAACCAAGGAGTCAGGAAACCTAGAGGATTTGGATTGTTGGAATAAACAGGGGGGAAAAAAAGAATTTTAGTACTTTTAGTCTTGATAATCAAGACTTCACCAGAAAGTCGTCAAAGACCTTGTTCAAGATCTGGTGACTTTAGAAAATATTTCTAAGGAAAATTACTTGGTCTTACCCTGCAAGTGTCAAAAGCTCCTTCTTCATCACCTGCACAAAACGAAGTGTCAGGAATTATTCCCCCATAACTCTTCGCAGAATTACAAATGTTTCGAGAAATATAATGCACTTCTGCTACCTGTAACATATTTGTAACATTACCTATTAACAAAAAAATATCAATAGATTATTTTGGAGAGCAGGCCTTTTTGACTGATTTATAATGCTCATTTTTTACAGTGTTGCAAACCAACATCACTTCAATAAAAAAAGCCCAAAGTATTCATATTTAATAGGTTTTCTTTCCAAAGTGACTGATTCAACAGTTACATAACATTGCATCCATATAAGTATATATGTATACCTAGGAAGACTGTGAAAGTGTGTTCACCAAAATTTTATTGATAGTTATCTCTAAATAATTGAAGTTTCTAGTTATTTCTGCTATTTTTGCTCATTTATTTCTTGAAGGTCTCACAAAAGGATCTATGGTGGGGTTTTTTTTTAAGATTTATTTATTTTTTATACAAGAACTGGGGTACAGACAGGCCAGAGGCACACGAGGGTGAGAGGATTCACCAGAGACAGAGTGGGGAGCAGAACAGGCAGACGGACCGAAATACACTGCTGAGGGGAGCAGTGGGAGAGACAGGAGAGGTCTGCCACGCCATATGGGTATCTCCCTGGCCGGCCGGGAATCGAACCTGTGCTGCCAGGGCTGCAGACAGCTCCACAGCACTGCGCTCAACCCACTGTGCCACTGGGGAGGCCCAAGGATCTGTAGTTTTTACAAAATAAACCTATTATCAAAATTATTAAAGCTTAAAGAGGTAAATATTGAGATCAATCTTATGGGTTTTTTGCAAAGATTTATTTTTATGTATGCATACAAGAACTGGGGTGTAGGCCAGAGATGTGGGGGATAAGAGGATTCACCAGAGACAGAATAGAGAACAGAAAAGGCAGAAGAAATCAATCTTATGTTTTAAGTTGTAAATAATTTTTACTAAATTTTCCCATGATATGAAGTCTTCAAAGATGGTCAACATGAAAATAAAAGAGATTTAGTGTATAACACTAACTTCTCTGCTAATTCTTGAATATAAAGTGGTTTAATATACAAAAATACAAGGAACCATTAGAATACAGAGTATTGTGAAAATTAATCCATAGAAAAGCTACTAAGCCAACAGCATCTGATCCCATCAGCTTGTCTCAGAGTTGTCACATGTGGTGGCTGAGTATTTTGTGTGCCCTGCATCCTTTCCCAACTTCTCTAGTAATAGACATTGTTCCTTTGACTCTAGATAGCAAGTAATTCAGCTTCTCCATTCACAGAATCCCATCCTCCTGCTGAGACTGTTTGGTCCAGGGGTGATCCTACATGGAATAAGTCTACTCGGTTGGAACATGTCAACATTTTTTTAAATGAAGCTGCCAGCTAGTCACATGACGTTCAGCTCTAAGTTCAAAGCTGCCTGTAGCCACAGTTCCAACCTCACGAGGACAAGCATTCTGAGAGCGTGAAGTCTCAGAATGCAGAGAGAACAGGAATAAGGAAACAGAAACGCAGTATGTACTAATGGCATTCACATTCCTAGACAGATGTTTCTTAGAGCCATCATATTACCCATGAATAATGAGTGTTTTGTTATTACCTTTCTAGTTGTATGTATTTTGCATTTTTTTTTTTTTTTTTTTTTTTTTTTTTAGTGTTACTGTACATGCTGTAATCTCAACCACAATCTTGAATCAAGGTGGTGATGGTAGGGGAAAGGATTTCTTATTTTAAAGGAAGTTGTTTTCTGTAATAATGATGTTTGCAGTTTGGAGGTAGACAATCTTAACCAGGTTAAGGAAATTCTATGTGTATACTGTTGTGCATTTTTAACACTTACAGAGATGATCTTTTTTTTCTAATTGAGGTAACACTGGTTTATACCTTTGTAAATGGTCCAGAGGTACAGGATGGCCACCTTCAGAGTATGTTACCTCACCTCACCCTTACCCAGGCGCCCAGAGTCCTCCATTATAGTTCACTGGCCACCTCCTGTCTTTGTTCTCCGCCCTCACATTAACTCTCTGGTAGCCTCAATTTTACAATCAGACTTAGAGGGTTTGTTTTTGTCTGATCTTTGTTTTTTTTCTCTATATTCTGCATGTTAGTGAAACGATCTAATAGTTGTCTTTCTCCTCTGACTTAGTTTACCTAGTATTATCCCCTCCAGTTCTACCCAGGTTGTCACAAATGGCAAGAGTTTACCTTTGATAATAGCTGAGTGGTATTCCACTGTGTTCATAACCCACATCTTCCTGATCACTGATCTGTTTGGGACACTTAGGTTGTCTCCAAAGTTTGTAAATAGGGCTGCAATGACTATAGGAATGCATATAGCCTTTTGAATTGGTGTTATTGCACTTTTTGGGTAGATATGTAGGAGTGTAATTGCTGGATCATAAGAGAGATCTATTTTTAGGGAAAGACAGAGCCAAACTTAAAAATCTGATTCCTCAGAGCCAGAGGTTATTGTTCAAGATTTGCAACACTCCATTACCCATGAGTCTCAGAAACTACAGTAATGTTTGAAATCATTTTCTCTGAGAATGTCTAAATGTTCAAGTGTCTTGGCATGAAATCAGAAAAAATTCTATTTATGTCTTAGAAGATAATTTTGTCTTTCCCCCAAGGAAGAAAATACTATTCACAGACCAAAAAAGGCATTTCCTATTCACTAATTCATATAGAATCTATTTTTCAAATTCATGATATAAAGAGGTAAAGAAATATACAAAATATTTACCCTCTGCCAATAATAAGGAATGTTTTAATCAATAAAATTCAGGCTATAATTACCTTCTTCTTTTGTTCTTCCCCAGCCACTTATAAAGCACTTTGTGCTTTGGTTCAAGTTTTGAAAAACATCAAATGGTAGACAAATAGGCTGAATATAGTCATTATATCTCACTGCTTTTTTTAAATGAAAAAGTGCAATATCACTGAAATAAGATTGCAAATTGAAGGCTGGGTGGATAATGATGGCTTTAACTTTCATCTTCTTGGTTTGTGGCAGTCTCCCACCTATATTATTAGTTCCAATCACAACTCTCCATAGCAAAGGATTGCTGAAAGAGAATAAATGTTTTTAGAAACATGCTATTTAACTAAGTAGCTACTCTTAATCTCCCACTATCTTTTGTTTTTCTCATGTTAGATTAGTAACAGTAAGTTTTTTTTATTGAAATCAAATTATATAGCACAGTATTTTATTTTTTTTATAAATTTTATTTTTATATTCCCCATACAATTGCAACCCCCTTATTTTGCTTATTTTGACCCCAATCCCTCCCCTTCCACCCCCTACCCCCCATAGAGTGTCTCTGGTTCATAGTTTTTTGTTGATTTTGATTTTCACTTTCTTATAGTTATTCATTTTCCTGGTCCCTTATTTAAGTTTACTAGATTCCTGCTATGAGTGAGACCATCCGGTATTTTTCTTTTTCTATCTGGCTTATTTTGCTGAGCATGATCCCTTCCAGCACCATCCATGTTGCTGCAAATTGCATGTGTTTTATCTTTTTTGAATGCTGAGTAATATTCCATGGTATATATATACCACATCTTCTTGATCCAGTCATCTATTTTTGGGCATTTGGGTTGTTTCCAAAGCTTAGCTATTGTAAATAGTGCTGCTATAAACATAGGGGTGCAGGTGCTCTTTGGAATTGATGTTTCTGTGTCCTTTGGGTAAATACCTAGGAGTGGAATTGCTGGATCATATGGAAGCTCTATGTTTAGTAGGTCCAGAAATCTCCACACAGCTCTCCATAGTGGTTGGACCAGTTTGCACTCCCACCAACAGTGCAGAAGAGTTCCTTTTTCTCCACACCCTCGCCAACATTTGTTGTTGCTAGTTTTTTTAATATGTGCCATTCTCACTGGTGTAAGATGGTATCTCATGGTAGTTTTGATTTGCATTTCCCTGATGACAAGTGATGTTGAACATTTTTTCATATGCCTGTTGGCCATTTGCATTTCCTCTTCAGAGAAGTTTCTTTTTAGCTCTTCTGCCCATTTTTTGACTGGATTATTTTCTTTATTTTTGTGATCAGTCCTTATCATTAGTGTTGTGTGCAAAAATGTTCTCCCACTTGGTGGGGTTTCTCTTTGTTTTTGTTATTGTCTCTTTTGCTGTGCAGAAGCTCTTTAATTTGATGTAGTCCCAGCTGTTTATCTTTGCCTTCACTATCACTGCTTTGGGTGATGTGTCTGTAAAGATGTCTTTGATGTGAATATCACGTAGTGTTTCGCCTGTATTTCCTTCTATGTATTTTATGGTTTCAGGTCTTAAGTCTAGTTCTTTAATCCATTTTGAGTTGATTTTTGTGTATGGTGTGAGGTAGTAGTCAAGCTTCATTCTTTTGCATGTAGTGACCCAGTTTTCCCAGCACCATTTATTGAACAAACTTTCTTTGCTCCATTGCATAGTCTTTGCTCCTTTGTCAAAGATTAGTTGACCATACATCTGTGGGTTTATTTCTGGATTTTCTATTCGATTCCATTGGTCTGTATGTCTGTTCTTGTTCCAATACCATGCAGTTTTGATGATTATGGCTTTGTAGTATAGTTTGAAGTCTGGGCGTGTGATGCCTCCATTCCCATCTTTTTTTTTCAGGAGAGTTTTGGCTATTCGGGGTTTTTGGTGATTCCATATGAATTTCATCAATAATAGTAACAAAAAGTTTAATCCAACTCTCATTAACATAAAGCCACATCAAATGAAAATCTATCATGACATATTTTGCTTTAATGCACTGCTTTAAGCTTCTTTGAAATAATGGCATTTTTTCTTTTCCAAACATACTCAGGTCCTATTACTTGCTTCAATTTATACTCAGACCATAAGATTCAAAAAAAAAAACAAACCCCAACATATTGTATACACTGAAAACTACAAAACATTGCCAAAAGAAATTAAAGAACATAGACAAATGGAAAGACACTCCCTATTCATGGATCAGAAAGATTGCTTAATATTGTTAAGACAGCACTCCCCAAAGTCATCTACATATTCAATGCAACCCCTATAAAAATCCCAATGGTTTTTTTTTTCCAGAAATAGAGAAAGGTGTCCTAAAATTTACATATCATGTCAAGTAATCCCAAATAATCAAAATAACCTTGGGGGAATAAAAATGAGGTAGAGGACTCTGTTTCCTGGTTTCAAAACTTACTTGAAGCTATAGTAAACAGTGTGGTCCTAGTACAATGCCAGACATTACACCAGTGGGAAATAATAGAGAGTTCAGAAGAGCATCAAGAAAGTAAAAAGGCAAGACACAGAATGGGAGAAAATATCTGTAAATCATGTATTTGATAAGAGAGTAACATCCAATAATATGTGAATTAATACAGAGGGCAGATAATGGAGCTAAAATTTTAAAATGTCTTTTTGAAATCCAAGGTTCTATGACAATACAACAAAGTCATATTATTTGATAAAGGTCATATGTCTAGTAGGTTGGGGAACCTGCAAGGGAGGTCTAGAATGCAGGTCTCCCTACTCCAAACTTACTGTTCTCCACACTGCATCAAAGCAGCAAACCAGTAAAGTGCAATGTTAGGAATGTTAGGATTTAGTAATATGAGAGAAGAGCTTTTTAAAAAATCTTCATATCATACCCAGCAGGTCTTTCCTCCCTCAGGTTAAGATCTGAAAACTGCTGAAAGCCATTTTTCAGCCAGTATGCCAGAAAAGAGTCATAAAGCATCCACCCTGGGAAGAACAGAATTGATTGCTAACACTGAAACTTTTTTCCTAAATCTTTTTCTTGGTTTATACCTTAATATTTCCCATTTTTCTAATCTCTAGTCCTCAAAAGGCTAGTTTATAGAACTGAATTGCATGTTTTAAAATGCAGTGCACAGATTAAAGCCTTATGTACACCATAAAGCTAGTTGCCCCCATCTGAATTTTGAAATTGTTAGTCTTAAAGTCTTTTCAGTCTTCTCCAAGATAGCTGTTAAAAGTTAAATTCTCGGGCCTCCCCAGTGGAGCAGCGGGTTGAGCACAGCGCTGTGACGCTATCCACAGCTTTTGCAGTACAGGTTTGTTTCCCCGTTGGCCAGGGAGATACCCACATGGCATGGCAGACCTCTCCTGTCTCGCCCGCTGCTCCCCTCAGCAGTGTTTTCAGGCATCTGCCTGTTCTGCTCCCCGCTCTGTGTCTGGTGAATTCTCTCACCCTCCCACTCCTCTGGCCTGTACTCCAGTTCTTGTATAAATAAACAAATCTTTAAAAAAAAGTTAAATTCTCTTAAAAGTTAAATTGTTAATGGAGACTGAATTACAGGAACCATGTTTCCTAGAGGATTTATCTTACATCTTTGTATGATTTTGTTTCATTTCATTCTGTGATGATTCCTATTTCTCCCAAACTAACATTACCTGCAGACTCAACAAATATTGTTTCCTATAAAGTAGGTCAAGTCCTACATTAATACCAGCAATATCAAATAAAAGATGTAGTCCTTGTCTTCAAAGAACTTACTCTAATGGTAAGAAATACAAACACGTGGTTATAATAATTTTAAAAGCTAAAAGAAAGACTTAATTATTTAAAATAAGGTCCAACAAACTCTAATCCACAGGCCAGATCCAGTTTGTCACCTGCTTTTCTACTAGCCCATAAACAAAGAACTTTTTTACACTTTTAAATGGTTGGAAAAAATCCAAATAAAATAGTATTTTGTTCAAATTTCAATATTTACAAATAGGGTTTAACTGAACATGGTTGAAGTAAGATGGGCCTTTACCACATCAAAATAACCCCTAGGAGAATAAAATGAGAGTTGTATTCTAGATACATACTTGGTGTCTTTAATGCAGTGAGCAGCTGTGAGGATCCACCTTTCTTTCACTATGCTGCCTCCACATATATGAACAAGAGTCCTGCCAGACTGAATTTGCAGGCTGACTATCCATGGCCATGAACCAATTGGAGCTTCTGAGCCCCCTATAATCCGAGACCCTTTTAACACATTCATAAGCGGTGCTGTTCCACAAGCTAAAAATAAAAAATAAAAAATGATTAGACGTCTGAACATCTAATATATGTATTATTTCCTAGTCTTAATACACAATCATAACCTGCTAAATCCTTGTTTTAAAAACTGATAAAGTAGGCAGGACACCTATAGAAGGCCCATATATTGAGATAAACCTTAAAGGAAGGTTGAGACAGACGTGGCCCGTTACTTACAAATAGGAAGAGATTCAATTGACGCAATTCCCCTCGGTTTTACAACTGTATTTTCCCCAAAAGTTTTACACTGAGAGAGGTTTCTCTGGCCAGGTATCACGTTCCTCCTTGTGTTAAATGGCGAGTCATGACTCTGGGCGTGGTGAATCAAGGTGAAAATTTCACCCTTCCTAATAAAAGCTCGCCTAATAACTTTCAACCCCGAATGTCAATGAACTGTGTTTAACAGGAACGACGAACCTCAGCCTATGGAGGCGCCCACACAGACGCCCCCACGACGCGCGGTGCTCTTACTACCACGGCCGCAGGGCGCCACCACCGGCCCTCCTCCTCCTCCGCCTCCCGTCACAGCGGGACAGCCGGGTAGTTTTAAAGACGACAGGCACAACACACGGGGAGGACCCAAATTAAATGCCATAGAAGCGGGGGAAAGGCGCGCGGGCTGGCCAAAGAGAGGAATGAGCAGACACTGCCCTTGGAGACCAGCTCTTCCCCTTTCTGGGCGGATCCGTTCACGCCGCTCGGCGGGGCCTTGGCCTCCCCGGGGCCGCCGGCCTGTCCCCGGGCAGGTGCACCCCCGTTCCTTTCGGGCAGCGGGGGGAGTTCCGCGTACAGGAGCGAGGTCCCCACAAACACCAGCGCGGCGCTCAGGAGCCCCGGGCCCATGTCGGGACTCGTGTGCGCAAGATGGCGGCGAGTTCCCGCCTGGCACGTGGCCTGGTGACGCGCGGCCGGGCGCCGAGGTGCGTGAGGTGCGTGAGGTGCGTGAGGTGCGTGAGGTGCGTGAGGTGCGCGGCGGGGGTCGGGGCAGGTGTGGGGGTGGGGCTGTGCCCGGGTCCGCGGGACGACGGGAGAGGCCCGGAGGCTGGCGGGGCTTGGGGTGAGTCTGGCCTTCCCGCGCTACTGAAGTTAGACGTACTTTTCAATTTTTTATTATTTTTAAAAATTTTATTATTTTTAAGATTTATTTATGCATGCAAGAGCTGGGGTACAGGCCAGAGATGCGGGGGGTGAGAGGGTCCATCAGAGACAGAGTGGGGAGCAGAACAGGCAGACTGACTGAAACACACCACTGAGGGGAGCAGCGGGTGAGACAGGAGAGGTCTGCCGCGCCTTGTGGGTATCTCCCTGGCCGGCCGGGGATCGAACTCGTGTTGCAGAGGCAGAGGACTGTTTCATAGTGCGGTGCTTAACCCCTTGCGCCACCAGGGAGGCCCCTAGTTTTTAAATTATATATTTTTTAAGATTTATTTTATTTATACAAGAACTGGGGTACAGGCCAGGTGTGTGGGAGGGTGAGAGGATTCACCAGAGACAGAGCGGGGAACAGAACAGGCAGACTGACGAAATACACTGCTGAGGGGAGCAGCGGGCGAGGCAGGAGAGGTCTGCTCGCCATGTGGGCTGCTCCGAGGCCGGCAGGGATCTAACCGGCATTGCAGAGCCTGCAGACAGCGTCACAGCGCTGCGCTCAACTGCCTGCGCCACCAGGGAGGCCCTAAATTTTATATATATTTTTCACATCATTTTTCATTTTTGCACAATGTATGCATTTTCATCTGGGTTATAGTCCCCATACAATTCCCACTCCCACCACTGTTTTGAGCCTACTCCCTCCCTAGCCCCTCTCCCCCAGTGTGTCTCTGGTTTATGGTTGATACCTAAGCCAAATACCAACTCAGACACAAGGGGTTGGTGTGGGTTATGACGGTCTGGGAAGGCTCTCCCCGTTGGAGAGGATGTGAGCTGGGCCTAGATTATGAGGGGGAGACCAAGGAGAAGATGATGTAGTGAAGACAGGTTAGGCTAAAACACAAGCAGAGGATTGGCTATGTATCTATTCATCTCCAGAGAAACAGAACCAATAGGATACATAAGAGATATACAAGAGATTTACTGTGAAAATTGGCTCCTACAATTATGAATGCTGAGAAATCCCATGATGTGCCATCTCCAAGCTGGAGAACCAGGAAAGTCAGTGGTATAATGAAGTCACAGTCTGAAGCAGGAGAGTGGGGGAGTCCTGGAGTCCTGAGGACTGAGAACTAGGAATTCGGATGTGGGAGGGAAGGAGAGGTGGATGTCCCAGATCTAGAAGAAAGGGAAAATATGCTGTTCCTCATTTTTGTTGATTTGGGCCCTGGATTGGATTGGATGACATCACTCCATGTTGGCAAGGGAGGAGGTCTTTATTCAGTTAAATTTAAATGATAATCTTTTCTTAAAACACCCTCACAAACATTGTTGGAAACATCCTATTTTTCCAACTATGTGGGCATGGTATAACCTAGTCAAACTGACACATAACATTAACCGTAGCAGACAATAAAGCAATGTATGAATAGTTTTATTGTTTTTACTGTTTTCTGTTATCTTACAGAGGTAAAGGAGAACCCATGCCTTTTTTTTTTTTTAATCAGGATATGTAAGAGAAAAAACTAAGTTTAAGTTGAAAGTTTTTCCTGTTTATGTATTTGAATTGATTCTGTATTGAGTCCAGAATCTTCCCTTTTGCAGAGCCATTTAATAAGGTTTTTGGATACATGGTAGTATGCCTACAACCTGAGGGCTGATTGTCCAGCTGTAGCGGCAGGAATGGCACAGTGCAGGTATTCTATGATCCGAGCAGACAGGGTAAGGAGAAGAGAGTCCTGGAGCCCTCAGTGGCTTTTGCAGACTTTTATTGGGATTTTACTGGGCACACAGCAGGCAGGGGTGCCGGGAGGCTGGCAGACCTCCCAACCCCCAGCAAGTCTTCACTCTTTCAGGGCTCTCTGGCGTTTTCTGGTTCTCTCTGCTTCTGTTCTCCCGCTCTGCTGGCGTCCCTTGACGCCGCCCATATAAGCCCAGTCTCTCAGAACAGGTGCATCCACTTACGCACGCCCACACCCTACTCCAGGTGCCCGCCATCAGGCATGCTTTCAGGACCACAAGGATCCATCATCCATCCTAATGGCAGGAGGGCAGAAAAGCCTGACACTTTTTTTTAATATTTATTTTTATTTATACAAGAGCTGGGGTACAGGCCAGAGTCATGGGAGGGTGAGAGGATTCACCAGAGACAGATCGGGGAGCAGAACAGGCAGACGGACCAAAGCAGTGGGCGAGAGAGGAGAGGTCTGCCTCGCCATGTGGGATTCTCCCTGGCAGGCCTGGAATTGACTCGGTGCTGCGGAGGCTGTGGACAGCTTCACAGCGCTGTGCTCAACCTGCTGCGCCACCGGGGAGGCCCAAGCCTGATACTTTTTTGCCTTACCCTACACCAGCATAATGCAAAAATTTTTTTAATGTGCCAAGGAAACTGGGGGAAAGGGAATAAAGAAATAGGCAGCTATTATTTGGGCCAAAAAGGTGTCTGTGAGAGTTTCCCAGTGGCAAGTTGACCCACGGTTTTTAAGAACAATGATGTCGAATGTGTGGGTTTACGTTATTTTATTGCTGCTATCTTGAGCTATACTGAACTTTGCCCCTATTCATCTTCAGCAATAGGGAACAGTAAGGTTACGGTGGTCAGGAAGGTTGGTAACATGGTGGGGAATTATTTCCTTTATTTCTATGTAAATAACTGATAGTTCTAGCATTGTGTCTTTAGTTTTTAGAGATTTCTGTCTGAAAATGTCAAACAAAAATTAAATAATAAACCCCATGGGCCCATCACACAGATTTGGCAATTATTTCATGGCCAGTCTTACTATAATTATATTCCCATCTATTTTTCCTCACTACCAAAATTATTTTGAAGTAATGCTAAAAATTATATAATTTTATCTATACTTAAATACTTATTTAAAAATTATAAGGTTAGGTCTTTTAAAACAGCCACACTATTGGGTCTCCCCAGTGGCGCAGCGGTTGAGCGCTGGGTTGCGAAGCTGCCCGCAGCCTCCGCGGTGCCGGTTCGATCCCTGGCTGCTCCCCGGCCACCAGAGGCGGGTCCCACATGGCGCGCAGACCTCTCCTGCCGCCCGCTGCTCCCCTCAGCAGTGTACTTCGGTCCTTCTGCCTGCTCTGCTCCCCACTCTGGCTCTGGTGAATTCTCTCACCCTCCCGCGCTTCTGACTGTACCCAGTGCTTGTATAAATAAATAAAATAAAATAAATCTTTAAAAAAATAAAACAGCCACAATATTATTATCACACTTAAAATATGAATTATAATTCTTTAATAATGTAAGGGCAGGAAGGACTACTGAGCAGGTTTTCTGATCCAGCAGACCGGGTAAAGGAGGAGTCAGAGTCCTCAGTGGCTTTTGCAGGTTTTTTATTTAGATTTACCAGGCATATGGCAGGCAGGGGTGCTGGGGCACCAGCAGGCTGGCAGTCCTCCCAGCCCCCTGCAAATCCTCACTCTATCTGGGCTCTCTATGGCGTCTCTCTGCTTCTCTTCTTCTCTCGGCTTCTGTTTGTTCTTGGCTTCTGCTGGCGTCCTCATGACACCGCCCTTAAAAACTCAGTCTCTCAGCCCAGGTGTACCCACTGCAGGTGCCCGCCATCAGGTATGCATTCAGGACCACAGGGTTCCCTCATCTATCCTAATGGCAGGAGGGCAGAAAATCCTGATACTTTTTCCTTACCCTACAAATAGCAACTCATTAAGTAATACCAGCATTACCCTGTTACCAAAAGCAAAGATATTACAAGAACAGAAAATTGCAGAACCAATATCCCTTATGAACAGAGATGCAAAAACCTTCAGTAAATATGAGCAGAGTTATATATTTTTAAAAAAGATTATACATTATGATCAAGTGGTAGCTTTTCTGAGAATATGACACTGGTTCAACATTAGAAAATCAATTAATAAAATTGATCATATAAACAGACTAATGAAGAAAAGCACCTATTCTAATCATCACTGGATACAGAAAAAGCATTTGATAAAATTCAACACCTATCTTTGAATTAAAACTCATGAGCTGGGAAAAAAGGAAATACCCCTAAGATGAGAAAGGGCTCCTACCCAAAAATCCCTGTAGCTTTTCTCATGCTTAAATGTTAAAAGACTGAGTGTTTTTCCTCCACAACTGGGAACAAGTTAAAAAGTCCATGCTCATTGTAGGGTAAAGTGTCAGGCTTTTCTGCCCTCCCACCATTAGGATGGATGATGGATCCTTGAGGTCCTGAATGCATGCCTGATGGCGGGCACCTGGAGTAGGGTGTGGGCGTGCGTAAGTGGGTACACCTGGGCTGAGAGACTGAGCTTATACTGTCAGAGTCATGGGGACGCCAGCAGAACCACGAGAAGAACAGAGAAGAGCAGAGAAGCAAAACCATGAAAAGAGAACAGAACCACGAGAAGCAGAGAGAACAACAGCTAAGAGAGAGCGAAAGAGAAGCAGAGACCACCAGAGAACGCCAGTAAGCCCAGAAAGAGTGAAGACTTGCTGGTGGTTGGGAGGCCTGCCGGCCTTCCGGCCCCCCAGCACTCCTGCCTGCCGTGTACCTGGTAGATCCCAATAGAAGCCTGAAAAGCCACCAAGGGCTCCAGGACTCGCTCCTCCTTTACCCCGTCTGCTCGGACCATAGAGAACCTGCTCCATGTTCTCCTGCCCCTACACTCATGAACCCTATTTACCTAGAAATCCTAGGCAGTATAATAAAACAAGATAAAGTATACAGATTTTAAGGAAATAAAACTCTCTCTATAAAAAAAAAAACCACTAACAAGTGAATTTAGTAAGGTCACAAAACATAAGCTCTCTTTCTAAATACTATCCAGGAGCAACTAGATACTGAAATTTAAAGTTAAAACAGCTATGAGCAAAAAGGAGCCACAAGGTATGAATCGAACAAAGTATGTGTAGTCAGTGTGCTGAAAGCTATAAAACTCTGATGAAAACATCAAAGACCTAAAAAAAATGGAGGCATTGTATGTATGGATTGGAAGACGCAATCTTTCGTTAAGATGTCAGTTTCCCCCCAAATTGATCTACATATGGGCTTAACACAATCCAAATAAAAAATCCCTTCAAGGTTAAAAATAATTTTTTTTAAGATTTATTTATTCATACAAGAACTGGGGTACAGGTCAGAAGCGCGGGAGGGTGAGAGAATTCACCAGAGCCAGAGCGGGGAGCAGAGCAGGCAGAAGGACCGAGGTACACTGCTGAGGGGAGCAGCGGGCGGCAGGAGAGGTCTGCTGCGCCGTGTGGGATTCTCTCTCGCCGGCGGGGAATTGAACCGGTGCTGCAGAGGCTGCGGACAGCTTCGCAGTGGGGCGCTCAACCGTCGCGCCACTGGGGAGGCCCAAAAAATAATTTTTGTAGATATAGGTAGATTCTAAAATTTATATAGAAAGGCAGAATAGCTGAGTTCAGCTAGAACAGCTGATAACAGCTTTGAGAAAAAATAAATAAAGCTTGAAGACTTCAAACATCCTGATTTCAAGACTTACTATAAATTTACAATAATCAAGACTGGTTTTGGTGAAAAATGGTCTGTATGAAACCAGTCCTTGGAAAATGTATTGAGACACTGTTAATGTGTATGGTCTGTTTTCACACTCAGGTGTTTGAAATGAACTATTTCTAGTGGTGTGTTTTCTATGGAATGTCATTGATAGAATGCACATTTTTCACATTTAAGTATCTCCAAAATCAGTGTGATCATGTAACCAGGCATTGTGGTATGTCATAGTTTACAGGCAGAGGTTTATCTTAGTGCTATTTAAGGAAATAATGTGCCTTACAGTCAGTGGTGACTTACAGTTGATGAAATTTAGTTTATAAGGTCAGGTTTATTAACTTCAAATCTCTGTACTGGTTATCTTCTTGCCTTTTTTTTTTTTTTTTTTTTTAAAGATTCATTTATTTATACAAGCACTGGGTACAGTCAGAAGCGCGGGAGGGTGAGAGAATTCACCAGAGCCAGAGCGGGGAGCAGAGCAGGCAGAAGGACCAAAGTACACTGCTGAGGGGAGCAGCGGGTGGCAGGAGAGGTCTGTGCGCCATGTGGGACCCTCACCCGGTGGCCGGGGATCGAACCGGCACTGCAGAGGCTGCAGGCAGCTTCGCAGCCCAACGCTCAACTGCTGTGCCACCAGGGGAGGCCCTATCTTTTTGTTTTTGCTATCAGGTATGACCTAGGGTAAGGGAACTGGTCAAGCTTTTAGTTCACTGGCTTCTGTGGCTATCACTCGCGGCCTTGAATGCAGAAGGCGTGTGGGCCCTGGGGCGCGCGTGCCTACCAGTGGACACCTGGAGTGTGGTGTGGGCATGCTTAAGTGGGCACGCCTGAGCCTGGAGGCCGAGTCACTCAGAAAAGGCTGCAGTGGAGAAGGGCTACGAAAGGACAAAGTGACTACAGAAAGGCAGGACCAAGCGACTACGCGAGAGCCTGTATAAAGATTTGCAGGGGGCCCAAGTTGCTGTCTCCCTGCTGGCCTGTTCCCCCTGCGCACTGTTAGCAAACCTGTGGGGATCCAAGGTTCTCTGTTAAGCTGCCTGTTTTGCTGCCAGCCCAGGCTGGGTAGGTTCACCGCCGGGTCCAGGCAGCTTAACAGAGAACCTTGGAGTGACATCCCCACAGGTTTGTTAACAGTGCACAGGGGAAACAGGCCAGCAGGGAGACAGCAACTTGGGCCCCCTGCAAATTTTTATATGCTCTTTCCTCTGGGCTCTCTCTGGCTTTCTCTTGTGGTCTCTTCCTCTTGGAACCGTTCTCTGCTGCAGCTTCTCTGAGAGATGCCGCCCTCATAGCCTCAACCTCCAGGCTCAGGTGTGCACTTACCCAGGCCCACACCATACTCCAGGTGTCCACCATCAGGCCTGCGTGCCCCCAGCCCGCGCTCCCAGGTGCCTTCTGCATCGCCACAGTCAAGACCTCAGGTGACAGCCGCAGAGGCCAGAGGCATAAAAGCCGGACCAGTCCACTTACCCAGCGCTACCTGAATCCATGGTGAACCTACCCGGCCTGGCTTGGTTGCAAAACAGGTATGTTAAAAATCTAAGATTGTGAACTTTTCTTTCTCCTGTTTCTACATTTTGCTTACTGTCCTGCCTCTGTTGTGTTCGGTGTAATCAGATGTTCTATCTTCCCAGGTGAATTGAATAGCCTATCATTTTACAGTCTTTGTGCAAGTAAATTTTGCTTTAAAGTGTGTTTTTTCCAACATATATAGCTCTATCGGCATTTTCTTTTGACTAGTGTTTGGTATGACTTTTTCTGTGCTTTTACTTTCAATCGTGCTGTATCCTTAATTTTAGATTTACCCCTTAACAAATGTCACTGGGTTTTGTTTTCCAATTCAACCTGAAATCTCTGATATTTAACTAAAAATGCCCAGTGCATTTACATTTTTCATGATTATTGAAACACATATCCTACTATCTGATTTTGGGCTGTCTGTCCTATTTGCTGCTGCTTTTTCATCTTAGACTGATGAGTGTTTTTACTGGGTAGAGAATTCCAGGTGTTTTCCCTATGTGCAATGATTAGTGAAAAGTAGCGGGCTCTTGTGAAAGAAGGTGTTTCTTGTTTTCTGGCTACCCTTCATTGAGCATAGTACTTTGTGCATAGTTGATTTATAGAAATTGTACTTATTTGTGATGGCAACCGATAATGGGCAAAGTAGTGATGCTGCCTTTTTCTTTTTACTCTTTACAATTCATTGCTAAAAAGTCTTAAGTCAATTTTTGTTTGGTATTTTGTAATCTTATTTTTTTTTTCTGTTAAATTTATTTATTTATTTTTTTGTATACTTGATTATCATTTTTATAATTTCTTTTTTTAAATAATAAATTTTATTTTTATATTCCCCCATACAATTGCAGCCCCCCCATTCTGACCCCAATCCCTCCCCTCCCGCCCCCGCCCCCCTAAAAGTGTCTCTGGTTCATAGTTTTTTGTTGATTTTGATTTTCACTTTCTTATAGTTATTCATTTTCCTGGCCCCTTAATTAAGTTTTCTAGATCCCTGCTATGAGTGAGACCATCCGGTATTTTTCTTTTTCTTTTTGGCTTATTTCACTGAGCATGATCCCTTCCAGCCCCATCCATGTTGCTGCAAATGGCATGTGTTTATCTTTTTTGAATGCTGAGTAATATTCCATGGTATATAAGTACCACATCTTCTTGATCCAGTCATCTATTTTTGGGCATTTGGGTTGTTTCCAAAGCTTAGCTATTGTAAACAGTGCTGCTATAAACATAGGGGTGCAGGTGTTCTTTGGAATTGATGTTTCTGTGTCCTTTGGGTATGGTATTTTGTAAACTTAGACTGTTATTTGCACATTTTCTGAATTAATAGATTTTGGTATTTTTACCTAGATGTGATACTAAATTATAAGAATTATTAGTTGAAAAAAAAGCTTGGATGGCTAGTTTTTATCCCCACAACAAAAGGATAAATTGCCATAGCTAAAATCCTATTTTCTTTGGCCTGCTTCACTTTCATTTAAAGAATGGTACATTATAAAGCTACCATTTATGAACTTCAGAAAACATGTATTTATGGAATCACTTAGTAAATACAACAATGTGTCCTGGAGCCACACTAAGTTCATGATAGTGGTTTCCATTGCAGAGGGAAATGTGACTAGGGAGAGAAGGTGGTGCATTCACCTGTACATTTTTTCTTCAGAAAATGATATAAAGATAGCAAAATGTTAATATCTATTAATTTTGGGCGGTGGGGGTATATGGATTTGATATATTAACTTGTGTATTTTTATGTATTTTTAAAATGAAGGTTGCCATCTAGTGGACACATTTCAGTAGAACCTTTAAAATTCTTGATACTGAGTGCCTAACAATAAAATGAAACAAAGCTTTGCAGCTGCTTCAACACCACAAATAAGAAAAAAGGTAGACTCTGGTGCTTAAAACCACAAGCTTTGTAGTTGACCAGCTGTAGGTCTGAGCCCTAGTTTTGTTATTTACTATGTGACCTTGGGCAAATTATCAAAGCTATCTGTGTCTTGTAACAATAAATCATAAACAGGGCCTCCCAGGTGGCACAGCGGTTGAGCACTGGGTTGCGAAGCTGCCCGCAGCCTCTGCAGCGCCGGTTCAATCCCCGGCTGCTCCCCGGCCACTGGAGGAGGGTCCCACATGGCGCGCAGACCTCTCCTACCCCGCCCGCTGCTCCCCTCAGCAGTGTACTTCCGTCCTTCTGCCTGCTCTGCTCCCCGCTCTGGCTCTGGTGAATTCTCTCACCCTCCCGCGCTTCTGACTGTACCCAGTGCTTGTATAAATAAATAAAAACAAATCTTAAAAAAAAAACTAAACAATAAATCATAAACAAATCCCAGTGTTGACTGTAGAACTGAAGCTACCAGGAGGGGGAGGGGTGGGGCAGATGAGGGAGGGTTATGGATGGGTGTTCAGGTGGTGGGCCTAGTGTTTACATGTCTGAAAAGGTGTGAACCTATAACTCTAAATCATATACATGGCTGGAAACCATTGTTGCCTCAATAAAAATAGTACAACTTAAAAAAAAATCTAAGTTCCACAAGAGCTGTAACGCTGCCTTGTTCATTCTTCTAGTAATGCTTGGCATAGATGAGGTCTCAAATAAATAATTGCTAAATGAATGAATGCTCTTCCTTAAAAACAGTTTCTGATGCACTGGAGATACTCAGTAGATAGTCAATGTAAGGAAACAGCATGACTGTGTAGTATGTATATAGGCAACCACAGATTTATAACAATGAAAGGTGATATTTACATAACTTAGCAGTTAAAAAACTTGTGAAATAAGCTTCATTCATTGAAGGCAGGACACTAGTACATTGTCAATTTTGAGGAAAAGGACCTTAAATATGTAGTGGCAAAGACTTGATCCTAATGCCTATGTTAGTTTGCTACGAAGAAATTTACCGATATACAAGAGTTAGTTATCAGAATTTTTTTTTTTTTCTTAAAGGGGCTGTTAAATGGCCTAAATCTCTTCTAAATGACTAGCCCTCAAAGATTCCTGCCAAATTCTCCCTGAATTCCTCCCCAAATTCTCCTTCTGAACTGTACAGTCTTGCTGTTCCTTCACTTTTATAGTATTCAAAATGAAACTTTGTATAAAAGAATGTTAAATGATTACTACAATTAGATTTTTGTAAGCTTTGACTCTTTGTTTCACTATAACCTGTGACTTTTCCTTTAAAATAGCTAGCAAAAAAAAAAAAAGCTATCAAGCCCTTAGTCAAATTGCACTCAATTTATATCATTTACACCACCTTTTCCTGGGACTTTTGAACTGCCATTGCTACAACTGATTATATAATTCTAAGTCATAATACATATCTTTATGTCCTTCCTATGTCCATAGTATTTTAACTAAAGAAAAACATAAGTTCAATCAGTAACCTGCATATAATTGCAGAATGCATAAACAATTATACTAAGATAGCCAAAGCTCTAACCACGTGCCTATTCTTCATACTGTAATTAATAAAAGAAAAGAGGGCCTCCCCAGTGGCACAGCGGTTGAGTGCTGGGCTGCGAAGCTGCCCGTAGCCTTTGCGGTGCCGGTTTGATCCCCGGCCACCTGGCGAGGGTCCCATATGGCATGACAGACCTCTCCTGCCTCCCGCTGCTCCCCTCAGCAGCATATTTCATTAGTCTGCCTGTTCTGCTCCCTGCTCCGGCTCTGGTGAATTCTCTAACCCTCCCGTGCTTCTGACTGGACCCAGTGCTTGTGTAAATAAATCTTTAAAAAAAAAAGTAAAGAGATACCTTTCTTTGTATGCTCAAGATATGTTCGTGGGCAACAATGCATTTGCTATCAATATAGTGTATAATTTAATAGTTAATAGTAAACTTACAAAAAATAGGAAATTGAGCTAAGGAAATAACTTGTTTATTGAACTTTTGAAGTCTAATTTCAGATGTGGACTATAATCACCTTTAAAATCTGGTAAGTCTGATACTGGATTCAAAGTAGAAACATCTAGAAAGATAATTTGATAGTATGAAAAGTAAAAACCTACTTTGTACTTATGGAGTCATCTATGGCTTGCTCAAACCTGTAACATTATAGTCTGCAGGCAGCAGAAATTTTACAAAATTTGTGGGTGTCTGCTGTTAAGGCACTTAGAACTAGGCTAGCTCTGAGGCAGCCGAGCTTAATATCTGCCCAATATACTGTCTTTTTTTTTTTTTAAGATTTATTTATTTATTTATACAAGCACTGGGCATAGTCAGAAGCGCGGGAGGGTGAGAGAATTCACCAGAGCCAGAGCAGGGAACAGAACAAGCAGACTGACGAGGTACACTGCTGAGGGGAGCAGCGGGCGTGGCAGGAGAGGTCTGTGTGCCATGTAGGACCTTTGCCGGTGGCCGGGGATTGAACCGACGCCGCAGAGGCTGCAGGCAACTTCGCAGCCCAGCGCTCAACCGCTGCGCCACCAGGGGAGGCCCCCAATATACTGTTTTTTTAAAACACTTTTTGTGGGCTTCCCTGGTGGCACAAGGAGTTAAGCACAGCACTTTGAAGCAATCCATAGCCTCTGCAGCATGAGTTTGATCCCCGGCCGGTCAGGGAGCTACCCACATGTCACAGCAGACCTTGCCTGTCTCGCCCACTGCTCCCCTCAGCAGTGTATTTCGGCCAGTCTGCCTGTTCTGTTTCCCACTCTGTCTCTGGTGAATCCTCTTTCCCCCCGCATCTCTGGCCTGTACCCCAGTTCTTGTATGCATAAATCTTTAAAAAAGAAAAAAAAAAACACTTGCTATAACCCAAGTTACCTCATGCTTCCTTAAAATTTTCAGGTGTAATGGACCATCTGTTTGAGAGTCTGGCTTAATACAAGGTAGTAAGTTAACTTTTTTGGCCCCTTTCATAAACTGCCAAATTAATGGAGTTCCACTTTTCAAAACACTTTTAATGAAATTTTTCATTAGGACTAATCATAAACTTGTCAATTAGGTTAATATTTCTACCTTGTAGGCTCCTGAACCATGCATGTCCTAAATAGTTACAGAACAAAAAACTTAAGCTTTCCCTAGTTTACTGTAATTGGTTCTGAATGAATCAAATCTTGCAAACATAACCCATCTTAAAATAGGTTGTGTAGACCAAAACTATAAATTTATTCTCATTTTAAAGTTAAAATGCACTATAGTTTAAGTAACAGAATGGCTGTCAGGAAGCTTGTCATTCGTTTATCAATTAATACATATTTTACATTCAGCAAACTTAATTTTATCAAATGTCCTTTAATTTCATAAACAACAATATGACGCATTGTATAAGAAGCACACAACAGTTATGTAGTACAGTTTCAAAGTGTATACAAACTGGAATACAGAGGTTAAATACTGTTGTACTGACAGCATTTTTAAAATTTTGGGTAAACTGCATATAAAACTTACAATTCAAATATTAGCCAATCACAAAACTTTGCTTTCCATAATATAAAATGATACTTTGAGATGCAAAATATTTTTTTATACTAAACTATATAAACCTTTAAAATAATCATTAAAAACTCAACATTAGAATTTATAAAGATTAGCTATAAAAATATATTGGCAGTCACTTTTCTTATAAATGTACCATTCACTACATTACAAAATAGACTCTCAACATAAAATTGCCTTAATAACTGCACTATTTTAGAATCTGATAAAACTTACATTAAATTGATTATAAAATCTTCTTGGAAACCTTTGGTACATATCTTCACAAAAATTTTTAAAAATACTCTAATATCACCTCAAGGGCCTGTAAACATTCCATTCTATTAAAGCACAACAGAGTGAGAAATGTATATTCAACTGCATACAGAATAATCAAAAAACAATTTGTATTTGTAGAAAATTACCAGTCCCAGAGTAACTAAAACAAATTATTTAAAAGTATAAAACTTTTAAACAATCCTCTTTCTATTTTGATTAAAAAATGTTACAAAATCACCACTGCATTCATGTACCTTACATGAACCTTTTAGGACAAGGCCTCAAAAACATAACCCAGTTGCAAAACCCTCTCAAATCCAGTAAAACAAACTTAAAAACTCATTTAAAAGACTTGCTAATAGAACAAGTATAATCAGAACACATAATCAGAACACATAATTTATATATCTAGTTATGCATTAGCTTTTCCTTTACATTTGTAATTTAGAATTTATTGGCAAAAACAAAACATATATACACACAAACTTGGAAAAGGTAAATTTTAGAAAACAGTAAAAAATGCAAACTTAAAGGATAAGAGGATTTATTTTTAAAAATTCAATTTACCAGATTTCATCTTCTGCCATTTTTGGGTTATTGACAACTGTTGTTGTTTAGAAAATTTTGCTGAAAGTTCATTTCCTGCTGCTTGAGTAAGCTGTAATTTCTATAGCATTTCCAGTTGTGCCAGTAACTTCTTTGAGGTCATTTTCCACTTTATTCTATCACCACATCTCTTGCATAAGATAGTGTATCCTTGAGTTGCTAAAGCCTAAATAAAAGGCTTCATTTTTGACCTTTTAATTTATAAAGCTCCACTAAAAAGAAATCCATCTAATTTTCAGGCAAGTCCACGAAAAATGTTTTCTTTCTTAAGAATCAAACACTTTTATGGGAATAAAGATCCTTCAAAGTTTTTAACTCTTCTATTAAAGTTTTATTTTGATTTTCCAGGACTGCAACTCTGTTTTCCAAGCATTTCACATATTCTTTCTTCTTTCTGCGACATTCTCGAGCAGCTTCTCTAATATAAGTATTAAAAAACCGATGTTAGAAAAAAAATCACACTCTTAACAAAAATGGTAAAAACATTTCAGTAATTTTTCCTGGTCATCTTTTCTTTCTCACTTAAAAAGTTAAGGCCTCATGTAGGTACAGTGTTAAAATACATAGACATTAATTTTAGGATTTAATTTTTTTCTCAGCTTAGATTAAAATGTCACGCAATATATATATCACTCTACACTTTTTAAAAGATTTTATTGCTCCCCCCACCCCCATCATTACGTCTTTAATTAGTCTGAATTACTTAGTAAAAAATAGGACTCCAATTTTTTTCCAAATGTGGAGTTGATTGTGTCAGTATCACTTAATAAGTTGTCCTTTTTAAGTATACTTAGCCAGAACAAGAAGCTATTTCTGGGCTCTTTGTTAATGTCATTATATATTTTCACCTAAAAGCTTTGAAATTCCATCTTTCACAGTTATATTTTTAGTCCATCAGGAATATTTCTGTATGTTGGGTGAAGAAGAAATCCAAATTTTTTTTTCACATACAGATATCCAATTACCTTAGCACCAGACTCCCTCCTTCCCCCAGAAATCTGCACTATTTGTCTTTGCCAAGAACAGAATATCCTACACAAAAATAAGGTGAGGAGGGGCCTCCCTGGTGACGCAAGGGGTTAAGACGCAACCTATGAAGCCAACCGCAGCCACTGCAGCACAAGTTCTATCCCCGGCCAGGGAGCAACCCAGAGGGCACAGCAGACCTCTCCCGACTAGCTCGCTGCTCCCCTCAGCAGTGTATTTCAGTCAGTCTGCCTGTTCTGCTCCCTACTCTGTCTCTGGTGAATCCTCTCACCCCTGGCACCTCTGTTCTGTACCCTCTTTCTTGTATGCATAAATAAATAAATCTTTAAAAAAAAAATAAGGTGAGGAGATACTAAGTTTTGTTTAAAGCTGTGATATAAGTGTGATAGTATGAGATAAATGAAATAGAGAGCTAAGAAACTGAGCATAAACACAGGAAACCTTGATATGACAGAATTCTCAGCTTCTAGATACAGCACTTTTTGGATATTGATCTCAAGAAAAATGCATGAGATATAATTCTGATCCAATTCCCCACCTTGCATAGAGGCCCCAGGTTCTGTTCCTAGTACCCTGTGCCTACAAAAGTTCTGATCTGATTCTTTCTGATCACAAAGATGTAAATTTATCTCTAAGACACACGGGGCGACTTCATTGCTTATTAATCTCATGGTCTTGTGTTCCTATTTCACTCCTAACCTAGATTTCGCTTACTTTCCAACAGCCTCATCGCATCATTTGCAAGAATGGTTTTTATTTTATTAAGCTTTAAAAAATATTTTATAGCTTAGGTCATACTGTCTGAAAGAGAAGTCTCATTTTTTAAAAAATATATTTTACATCATTCTTCCTTTTTGTACAAGGTATGCTTTCTCCTCTCAAGTGTAGTCCCTGTAAAATTCCCACCACCAGTTCACCCCTGCACCATCACCATAGTCCCATGTGCTCTTCCCTCCCATTTTGATCCCTCCCCTTCCCCTGCAGAATGTCTCTGATTTATAGTTGCCTGTTAATTTTGTTTTTTAATTTATTATAATTATTTTTTCATCTGATCCCTTATTTGGTTCCCTACATTCCTCCTGTAAGTGAAACGATCCAATATTTTTCCTTTTCTTTCTGGCTTATTTCACTGAGCATAATCCCTTCCATCTCCATTCATGTTGCTGCGAATGGCATGAGTTTATCTTTTTTGATTGTTGAGTAATATTCCATCATGTATATATATATATATATATATATATATATATATATATATATATACCACATCTCGATCCAGTCAGAAAAGAGGTCTCATTCTAATAATTTTTAACTAGTTTCTTGGGTTTTCTAGGTACACAATCATACCATCAACAAAGAAAAACAATTCTTCTAATAATTATATAACTAACTTCACATTCCCTTATCTTATTACAGTTGTTGGAATGCCAAAACAGATTGCACAGTACCTGCCTTCTTACCAAATTCATTCAGTGATGCTTGTTGTTAGTTTATAGTAAAGAGACATTTTTATCTTGAAGTGAGTATGTCTAAATGATCCTTTTATGGAAACGTTTATTGCTCTCAGAAAATTATCTTTTTATCCTATTAATGAGGAGATGAAAATTGAATACTATTGTGATTTTTAGTTATTTTTAAAAGATTTATTTATTTATTTATTTATTCATTCATTCATTCAAGCACTGGGTACAGTCAGAAGCACGGGAGGGTGAGAGAATTCACCAGAGCCTGAGCGGGGAACAGAACAGGCAGACCAACAAAATACACTGCTGAGGGAAGCAGCGGGCTCAGCAGGAGAGGTCTGCGCGCCATGTGGGACCCTCGCCGGTGGCCGGGGATCGACCTGGCGCCGCAGAGGCTGAGGGCAGCTTCGCAGCCCAGCGCTCAACCGCTGCACCACCAGGGGAGGCCCTATTGTGATTTTTAAAACTATTGAATCTTGTTATTTGCTGTTTCTTGTTCTTAATAGACTTATTGGTATCATTCCTTTTTCTCTCTTTTCTGTGAGTACACGGCAGAGTACCCACTATATTCTTTTTCTCAACAAATCAGTGGTCTTTCATGCTTGATACATGTTCAGTACATCCAGCAAAATTTAAATTTTAAAGGTAAATAGTTCTGGGGATGAAATTATGGCTATATTTCCATGATTAAAATTAATTTTAAAAGCATTTCTGTATGGGCCTCCCTGGCTGCTCTGCCTGCTCTCTCCCTGCTCTGGCTCTGGTGAATTCTCTCACCCTCCTACGCTTCTGACTGTACCCAGTGCATGTATAAACAAATAAACAAACAAAGAAATAAATAAAACATGCCTCTATGAAAAAAAAAATTAAAAAAAAAATATATTACCTGAAAATCTTTGTTCAATAAGTCCTTTCAAAGAAAAAATTGAAATGGAAGAACTTTAGGTTAAATATTAAATAAGTAGATTGAGCAATGGGACTCTCTGATCCATTGGAAATAAATCTAACAGTAAAATAAAGCTGATATAAACCTCTCTCCTTATTTCTAATATACAACTGCAATTAACATTTGCTTATGTTTTGAGATTTAGAAAAAGGTTACCCATTCTGGCAATATAGTTTTACTACCTACCTATTTTTCATCAACCTTATTTCTCTTTTCAATTGGGGGTCATCTGTCTTAGTTGTCTGAGAGGTAAGAGTCACAGGAGATGTCATCACCACAGTTTGTGGCAGCGAAGTAGCAGAAGGTGTGGTACGAATCTGATAGGTCTGCATATCTCCTGATGCAGCTGTGTGGTCAAAAGAATGAGTAAATTTACAAGTGTTTTTCAGAGCACTCAGGGATGTTTTTCGTAGATACTTAAGAATACTTACTCTGTACAACCACCTGGTTGCTGGGTACAAGTATTTGCTGTCCATCAGAGGTCTGTGCATACTGGAGAATTGTTGTACCTTGCTGAGCGCTACCTGAATTTGTCATGGTTAATGTCTGAAGTCCCTGTACTCCATCTGTGCCTGGACTGGCCAGCTGTAAGGCTCCATTTGGGGCAATGGCAACTTGAACCAAAAAAGAAAACATAGCTTTTGTCAGACTACACAATGCACTAATTGCAAAGGACTGGCAAAAAACCCCCACAAACAACAAGAAACAAAAACACTATTCATTAATATAGGTTTGAATGCAATTCTACTTGATAACTGTTGACTTTGGGTGAACTAGATGTAAAAGAAAGAAAACGACATTTTAAATAAAATTTTATAGTTCAGATGCACTAATCTTGAGTTTCAAGCTCTACAACATAACTAACTGGTCAAAACACCTTTGGGGCTCTATGAAGCACTCCATGCTAACTGCTGTTCTGGGGCATACAAAGGCATTGAGGGCTAACTTGAAGGAAAAGTAAGTAGAAAATAACATTTACATAGTTTGTAATAAAAGTACTTTTTAAATGTGTAAGTGTACCTAGGGACATAAATAAGCCTTTTTTGTACTGTTTCTTAGCTCCACTTTCAATTGGCAACCACTGTTAAGTGTATTACATAAGTGATATTTTTAAAATGTAATCTATTCAGTCATTTCTTAGTGAAAATCACCAGTAAAATTTGAAGTCATCAGAAAACCGCTATACAGATCACATTACTAAGCTCTCCAGAAGCATTTTTCACTGATATTTATAATGCTTTCCCCTCATACCCTAAATTAAACACCTATAAAGCAGAGCCAAATAGAAAACATTTTAAGCATTATGCATTTCCCATACAGTAAATCCCTTCAGAGTCTAATGCCTCTCCCCTTCTCAGATTATAATTACACAATTCTTTTTTTCTTTTATAATGATAATGAGGCTATCAGGAAGCCAAAATACATGTCTCTATTTATGTGTTTAAGTATCCCTTCCCCAATGCCACACAACAAACTGTCCCACACACTTTATGGCTTTAAGAATAATGACATTAAATTTTTCAGTTGCAGAGATTTAGACTTATATTAGCAATTACTTTTAAAATTCCATGTATGCAATACATAATATGTATTATATATTCATATATATTTCTATTATGCAAATATGTAAGATAAATTCCCATTATCCCTATTTATTACACTGACCACCTGTACCCCCATCCTTAGATCCTGTTATTTCTGTTATACATTCCTCCCAAGATTTTCCTATGTTCATCTAGGCACTTATAACTAATAAATATGAAAATATGTGTATATACACATGTATAGATATGTATCTTTTGATGCTAAATATGTGAAAATATAGAATGGCTTTCATTTCTGCAATAGATCTTCCCATTCTTCTTCAACATGTACATTAATCTGGTTGAATTTACTCTAAATCTATGCTGTCCAATACAGTAGCCATTAGCCAACATGTGTTTATTTAAGTTAACTAAAATTGCACAAAATAGGGACCCCCTTGGTGGTGCAGGGGGTTAAATCTCAGCACTATGAAGCTATCCTTTCCTGTCTTGCCTGCTACTCTCCTCAGCAGTGTCTTTCAGTAGATCTGCCTGTTCTGCTCCCCACTGTGTCTGGTGAATCCTCTCATCCCCCACACCTCTGGTCTGCACCCCAGCTCTTATATGCATAAATAAATAAAATAAATCTTTAAAAAAAACTGCACAAAATAAAAAATTCAGTTCTCAGTCTCACCACATCTGGTGCTCAGTTGTCACACATGGGCTACTGTACCGCACAGTGCAGCTATGGAACATTTCCATCATTAAGAAAGTTTTATTGAGTCATGTCTGCCCTAAGTACTAGTTTGTATGCACTTATTGTAATTATAACTTATATTAGCCTAAGTTTCTATATAGTTTCCATTATTATAATTTTTAATGATTCTAGAATTAATCATATTGACATAATTTTTAACATGCTACCTTAAAAACATTTTTTGGAAAGAGTACTACATGTCTATGGCTTAAAAAAATTGTTAAAAATTTAAAATGAACCCCCCAGTTCCCTGGCTCTGCTCCCAAAGTTCCTTTCTTGCAACTGCTATCTCCAGTGTCCATGTGTCTCCATAAAATATTCCATATATATTCTTTTAGTTATTCATAATGAATTTTATTGAAAGCCCAGTGTGTCCCAGGCCCTGTATGTCAAGGGTGCAGCTATGAACAAGACAAAGTTCTTTCCCTCAAGGAATTTATATTCCCTGAGAACAGATCAGAAATAAGCAAATCTATAATTACTATAACTATATAATTAGTATGCAATTTCTTATAATTACATATAAATGCTGTAAAAAATACAAAAACAAATCAAAGGGAGGAGCTGTATGTGTCTCTTTGAGGAGGTGACACTTAAGCAGAGCAGGAGTCAGGATGTGAGCCAGGTGTGTACTGGGAGAAGAAAGTGTCAGACCAGACAATGGGGATGACAATCCCAAAGAACCTGAGGTAGAAACAAGCTTCATATGTTTGAGAAAAAGCAAGAAAATGTGTGGTGCAAATGTCATCAAGTGTCAGAAGATGAGACCAGAGTAGCAGGGAAGGCCAGATCCTGAATATGATGCCTTAGAAAGCAGGACTTGCTCTAAGTGTGAAGGAAGGTCACTGGAAGATTTTGAGCAGGCATGGTATGATCTAAATCACATTTTACGTAAATTGCCTTGGCTGCACTGTGGAAAACTAGTAGAACAAAATTGGAAGCAAGATGACTAACAGGTTGCCTACTGTAGTAAGTCAAATAAGAGTGGACACCAAGGTGTTGGTGGACATTGGAGATGGTGAGAGGGGTCAAGTGGGACATCTATTTCGTGACAAGAGACAAAGTCAGACAAAGAGCAGGGATGAGGAATGAGGAGAGAGTAGCTACACATGGAAAGCAGAAGTGAATTTATTGGGGTTACATAATTCTATCTTGACATGATGATAGTCAGACAATCCCATGTACTTATCAAAACTCACAGACATACCTCATTGGACATAATTTCTAATCAGTACCTAAAGGTAGGTTTAAATACGTAAATGGTATTCCATAAACTGGGTAGGCAACTAGGCAAAATAAGAAATGGTTATCTACCTCACTCCTTATACCAAAATAAACTTAACATGGATCAAAGATTTAAAAGTCAAAAACAAACAAAAAATGAAAGTAGGAACTGGGAAAATAAAAAATACGGAAAAGGCTTTATAAGCACTGACTCCAAATCCAAAAGTCACTGAAAAAAAGATGTGTGTGTCTGCTGCATATTTGAAATAAAATGTTGAAAGCAAAACTAAAAATTAAATTTGAAATATAAATTTATATTCATTATCTTATTTGTTTTGCCAAATGTCATTGATAAGCCAGTAGAGCTCACTAAATTATTAAGCAAAAAATCTAAGTGTTATTACAAGTACAAATAACTGATCAATTGATTCTTACTGAATATTAGATGAATATATACATATCTGTTTGTGGTATTTCATTTCTATTGGTTTCCCTAAGTTTTCCTTTTAAAAAGCAAGGATCTCATATGCTTTCCTTACAGCATTTTTCAGAAAGAGGTTTTTAAAGTTGATTAGTCCCTGATTATATAAAGTGGGCTGCAAATCACATTGCAAATATATTACAATCAGTTGTAAGCCACACTTCAAACTGAAATTCAGCATTAGTGTTAAACCTTTTACCACGTGACTAATGCAAATAATTCCTGCCAGAATTAAGATAGTAGACATATCTAGCTAGTGTTCAAAAGGGAAGTTTGTAAGAGGCAGTGTAGTTGGGATAAAATTATATATCTAGAGTCAGAAAAGTTGAAATTGAATCCTGGCTCCATCCTTGTGAAGCTGGGTGTCTTTAGGGACATTAAATCTAAGCCTCGGTTCCCTCATAAACTGATAATTTCCCGCCTCACAAAGTTGTTGTAAGGAGTAAATGTGATAATGTTGAAAAAGTACTTTGCATTATTTCTGGCTTAAAATAGTATCCTTTAATAATCATCACAATTAAAGTATGACAATTTTTCTACACATTACTTCTGTAAGTTATTTTTTGTGTGTCTACCATGTGGAAGCTGTTTCCTATACGTACTGTACTGTCCAGTGCTAGTCTGATAGATGGGAGTTGGAACAGACATAGAAGTGACAGCAGAAACTCCAGGGTTTTCTCCGTCTCCTTTTCTGCCTCGTGTATCTTCAGAAGATAGGTCTTTCAAAATTTTTCTGTGAAAAATAGAACTCTATTAATGTTGGTAAGGAGGACAGCTCTGTAAAAAGAAATTGCGAAGCCTTTTTCTTTTTTTTTTTTAAAGATTGATTTATTTATGCATACAAGGGGTACAGGCCAGAGGTGTGGGGGGTGAGATGATTCACCAGAGTCAGAGCAGGGAACAGAACAAGCAGATCAACCGAAGTACACTGCTGAGGGGAGCAGTGGGTGGCAGAAGAGGTCTGCTGCGCCATGTGGGCTGCTCCCTGGCCGGCCAGGGATGGAACTTGTGCTACAGGGGTTTTGGACAGCCTCACAGGCTGCATTTTAATCCCTTGTGCCACCAGGGAGGCCCGCGAAGCCTTTTTCAATCTCAGGTTAAAAGTACAATAAATTACTAGTCTCCTAACCTTGGCATTAGGTTAGTACAGGTTATTTAGTACATACTATGATGTACCGCAAGCTATTAATAGTTATCTGTCTAGGTCTCACTCATAGCAGGAATCTAGAAAACTTAAATAAGGGACCAGGAAAACGAATAACTATAAGAAAGTGAAAATCAAAATCAACAAAAAACTACGAACCAGAGACACTTTTAAGGGGGCGGGGGTGGGAGGGGAGAGATTGGGGTCAGAATGGGGGGGCTGCAATTGTATGGGGAATATAAAAATAAAATTTATAAAAAAAAAAAATAGTTATCTGTCTATAATCTCTTTCCAGAACTATGGTAGAATATAAGTTGCATGATTTCAGTTCCTCTAAATTTGTTAAGATTTGTTATGGCCCAGGATGTGCTTTCTTTCTTTTTTTTTTTAAAGTTTTATTTATTTATTTATTTGTTTGTTTGTTTTTTGTTTATACATGCACTGGGTACAGTCAGAAGCGCGGGAGGGTGAGAGAATTCACCAGAGCCAGAGCGGGGAGCAGAGCAGGCAGAAGGACTGAAGTACACTGCTGAGGGGAGCAGTGGGCGGCAGGAGAGGTCTGCGCGCCATGTGGGACCCTCCTCCGGTGGCTGGGGAGCAGCCCGGGGGATCGAACCGGCACCACAGAGGCCGCGGGCAGCTTCGCAACCCAGCGCTCAACCGCTGCGCCATCGGGGAGGCCCAGGATGTGCTTTCTTAGTGGATGTTCTTTGTGTCCATGGGTGAACTGCTCTTAAAATGTCTTAAAATGTTGATAGTATTGTTCAGTTCTTGTCAGTATTGTTCAGAAATCAGCAGTAACCTTGCTGATTTCTGACTACTGCTTCTGTTGGATTCTGGGATAAGTGTGCTGACACCTTCAGTTATAAATGCGGATTTGTTTACTTCACTTTCTAGTTCTGTTTGTTTCTGATACATGTATTTTGAAACTGTTGTTGAGTGCATACACATTTTTTTTGTGTGGGACCCTCACTGGTGGCCGGGGAACGAACCGGCGCTGCAGAGGCTGCAGGCAGCCTCACAGCCCAGCTCAACCGCTGCGCCACCAGGGGAGGCCCCGAGTGCATACACATTTATGATTGTTACTTCTTAGTGATCTATCTCTGGTAGCTTTTTTTGCTCTGAAATCTATTTTGTATATTGATATAGCCACTTTAGTTTTCTTTTGATTAGTGTTTTCATGGTATATCTTTAGCTACCCTGTTATCTTAACCTAGGTGTAATCATTATATTTGAAGTGAATTGCTAATAACTTGATTTAAAAAAAAAGTTTTGAGATATAATTTATAAACTATACAATTAACCCATTTAAATTATACAATTCATTATTTTTATTATAATGTGCAACTGTCACCACAATCTAATTTTAGAACATTTTTTCCTCCCCCTCAAAGAAACTCAGTACCCATTGGCAGTCAGTCCCCATTCTAGTCTTCCTTTCCCCAAGCTGTATGCAGTGACTCACCTACTTTCTGTGTCTATAAATGCCTATTCTGGACATTTCTTATAAGTGGAACCATTCAATACACAGTATTTTGTGATCAACTTCTTTCACTTAGCTTAGTATTTTCAAGGTTTGTCTATGTTGTATCATATATCAGTATTCTGTTCATTTTCATCGCAAAAAACAAACCAGTATTCAGATGTATGACTATCATGTTTATCCGTTTATCAGCTGATAGACATTTGGGGTATTGCTACTTTTTTTTTTTAATATTTATTTATTTATTTATTTATTTATTTATTTATTTATTTATTTATTTATACAAGCACTGGGTACAGTCAGAAGCGCAGGAGGGTGAGAGAATTCACCAGAGTCAAAGTGGGGAGCAGAGCAGGCAGAAGGATGGAAGTACACTGCTGAGGGGAGCAGCAGGCGGCAGGAGAGGTCTGCGCGCCATGTAGGACCCTCCTCCGGTGGCCAGGGAGCAGCTGGGGATCGAACTGGCGCTGATGAGGCTGCGGGCAGCTTCGCAACCCAGCGCTCAACCTCTGCGCCACCGGGGAGGTCCAGGGGTATTGCTACTTTTTTGGCTATTACGAAAAATACTGCTATGAAACATTTGCATACAAGCTTTATGTAAATGTTTTTATTCCTCTTGGGCATATAGCTATGAATTAATATTTGGTTGCTCCTAATCTGTGGAAAGTTTAATTTTCCTTTTGTATGTTCTAGTCTCCTGCAGGCATCTCTGCTTAATCCACAAATCTCAGGTTTAGAATCCCTTCCTGCAGTAGTAATGGATATAACTTGGTTTTCATATTTGCTTCTGCTTTCCATTCTGGTAACAGCTCATGTATATAGGGTTTTTTAAAATAAATCTTTACGGAGTAGCACTGGTTTAATAACATTCTACAGGTCTCATGTATACAGTATTACAATTTGACATCTGTATATCCAGAGGTATATTCTCCATCATGATCATCACTAGTTTCCTCCCACCACCAGACATTTACCCCCAGCTCCTTTCCCCTTTAGTAACCACTAATATGCCCTCTATATCTAAGAGTTTTTGTTTTATTTGTTCATTTGGTTTCTTTATTGTATGTATATGGTTTACTGTTTATTGGAAGAGGGTGATAGATTTCTATTATTTCCTGTAAGTGCACAATGCATCAACAAGTATTTCATCCAGGAGCTAAATGATTTGTGCTGGAAATAAAGCTGTATTCTTTTGGTGATAGCCTCTAATAAACTAAGTCTAAAGGTAATACAGGACTCCAATAGACCATCCCTGCCTTACATGTTTCTGTCTGGTATATTCTTTCTTTTATCTATCTATCTATCTATCTATCTATCTATCTATTTATTTATTTATTTATTTATTTATTTATTTATTTATTATTTATTTATTTATTTATTTATTTATAAAAGATTATTTATGCATACAAGAGCTAGGGTACAGGCCAGAGATGCGGAGGGTGAGAGGATTCACCAGAGACAGAGTGGGAGAAAGAACAGGCAGACTGACTGAAGTACACTGCTGAGGGGAGCAGCGGGTGAGTCAGGAGAGGTCTGCTGCACCATGGGTTGCTCCCTGGCCGGCCGGGGATTGAACTCGTGCTGCAGAGGCTGCGGATTGCTTCACAGTGCTGTGCTTAACCCCTTGCACCACCAGGGAGGCCCTTCCATTTGTTTTTATATTTATTTATTCATTCATTCATTCATTCATTCATTCATTCATTCATTCAAGCACTGGGTACAGTCAGAAGCGCGGGAGGGTGAGAGAATTCACCAGAGCCAGAGTGGGGAGCAGAGCAGGCAGAAGGACCGAAGTACACTGCTGAGGGGAGCAGCGGGCGGCAGGAGAGGTCTGCACGCCATGTGGGACCCTCCTCTGGTGGCCGGGGAGCAGCCGGGGATCGAACCAGCGCTGCAGAGGCTGCGGGCAGCTTCACAACCTAGCGCTCAACTGCTGCACCACCGGGGAGGTCCCCCATTTGTTTTTAAAGTGCCCAATTTAACCATCATGATCATCATGATCATCATGAATGTCTTTGTTCATCAATCTTACTTATATTCACATTCCTTTCATTTGGCTTCATATTCTTCCTTAAGTATACCCTTCACTGGTTTCTTTTTTTCCCTTATTATTTGTATGACAAATAACTTTGTCACATGTTTTATTAAATATGATAACCCTAAGTTTATTGAATAATAACCACATATCCAACAAAAATTACAAATGCATTTCTACATAATAACTTGAAAGTTTCCTTTTAGTTTTTAAAAAAATCAAAGATACTAATTTAGACATAAGTATTTAGTCTATGAGATGAATGAAGTGACAGCAATCTCAAGATAACAGCTGCGATCTAAGAATTGTTCAAATGTACTGTTTAAAAATGGGTATAAATATTTGCCAAAAAATCATTTATAATAATACTATATTATAAAAGAAACATAATTTCCAAGCAAAGACATGGTACATAGTAGGTATTCACTTAATATTTGAGAATGACTGGCTAGTAGGCATTTAGTTGCATATTACCAACACGTGGTACAGAATTTCAGGGAGTCTAAATATGTCATTATACAGATGTTTAAATGTGGCAAAACAGTTGCAGCATAGTGAGGTTTTTTTAAAAGATTGACTGATTGATTGATTTATATAAGTACTAGGTACAGTCAGAAGCGAGGGAGGGTGAAAGAATTCACCAGCGCCAGAGCGGGGAACAGAACAGGCAGACCAACTAAATATACTGCTGAGTGGAGCAGCGGGCGTGGCAGCAGAGGTCTGTCGCGCCACGTGGGACCCTCGCCGGCGGCCGGGGATTGACCTGGTGCTGCAGAGGCTGTGGGCAGCTTCACAGCCCAGAGCTCAACTGCTGCACCACCAGGGGAGGCCCTAGTGAGGTGTTTTTATTTTAAATGCATATAAAAAATACATTAGAACTTGGATTAGTTGCTCTTATAGAATGACTGAACTGCAAGATAACAGGCTCGTCAGTGTTATCGATACTCTGGAAACCTGAGGAAATCATTTCTATGAGGTAAAAGGAGATAGAACATTGCATTTATCTGAAGATGACCATAATCCTCACTGGGGAGGACTTCATCACCTGTGTTGTTGGGCATGGATACTATTTGAAGTGCTAGGCTTTATAAGTCTGACACACAGCAGTAGAGAATCCTTTCCATACATTTTATAGTTGATTACACCAGTTCATGAGACATTCCCTTATCAGTTTATCTGTATGTAAGAGCCAAATCCCAGGCTCCAACTTCTCATCATTACCAGCAAGTTTTACTGGAAAAGAGCCGTGTGGCTGGACTTGATATGGCAGCAAGGTTGACTAACAATTCTGTAATAATAATTCAGTTTACCCCAGGGTTTCACTATCAGGTCTCAGAAGATTAATGCTTTTAAAAGATTCATAAAACTGAGTTAGACTTTAAGAAAGTTTGGGGAAAAAAGATTACCAGGTGAGCTGACCATTTCAAATTGTTGACTGTGATCATAATACAACAATTTCAAAACTTGTCTCAGGCTCTTTGTTCCAAGACCTTCTGCTAGTTCTCTTTAGCCGTTAAGTCCCACCATGGTTGAGCTTAGACTGTGGCCTTGACCACTGCCCCATTTGCAGTTTCTTAAATTGTTTCAAATGACTTCTATTTCACCATCATTTTGGGCGATTGTTTAGGTGGGTATAAAATTCCAGGCTAATAGTCACTTTCTCTTATCATTTAAGGATTTTAGTCCATTATTTTCTGTTGTCAGTATAATGGTCATTCCTTTCAAGGTAATTTGTCCTTTCTCTTTGGAAGCTTTTAAGAACTTTGAGTTCACCAATTTTACTTCAACACTGTACTTTCTATACAAATAACATGTTCCTTTTTTATACAGCTTGCTTTGCACAGTACCATTTGCAATCATTTGTCAACATAACACATACAAGGTTTGATGCAAGAGAATATTCACCTGTAAGATGGGCGCCGTGCTAGGATCCCGTGGGTTTTCTGTGAGGAGCCTATACTGTCAGATGAATCCTGAGATTCCTCACTTTCTGATAAAGATGATACCTGAAAAACAAAACCAGTTTTACTATGATGAACAATGGAGTTGGGAAAATAATATAATTTTTACTCAGAAAACATTATCTCCTACACCCAAAGTTATTTGTCATTAAAGCTAAGGTATAAAAGAAGAAAACAAAAAGAAAAAGGATAAGGCTTATTTCAGGAGCCCAAACTAACTGAAAGAACATAAATTATTGAGTCAGAACTAAGAAGAAAGTCTATTCCTCAAATAAAGCAATACGTTTCACTAGTGTTACAAAGACCAGTGTCTGATTTCTATGCTATTTCTGCACTGATGTACATTATTCACTTAAAAAAAAAAATCATGAACACTATCTAATTAGGATTTGGGACATACCAAATTTGAAATACTATTAGGTACCCAACTAATATCTAATTATTAGATAATGATATTGAGGGGACTGCTGTATATTCAAGTCTGTGAGTAAGAAGCATAAAGTTGGGAGTCATATCTCTTTGGCTCTACTTAAAGTTGTGAGGCTGAATAAGTGCACTAAATAAATACAGAGAAGCCTAAGGTCAAAACCCAGGAATACTCTTACAATAAGAGATCAGGAAGAAGAGGATCAGCAAATGAGACTGAGAAGGAGCTACAAATGAGGTAGTAAGAATTCCAAATGAGGGAACTTTGGAAAAGTAGTAAAGACAGTGTATTGAGGAGAAAGTATAATCAGCATGTCAAATGTTGCAATTAGAGGAAGTAAAACAAGGACAGAGATAGATCATTAGATTTAGCAAGGTGGAGGTCACTGGCAAGGGTAGGTATAAACATATACAACTTAAAAATCTATAGAATTTTATCTCACTTCACAAATAAGTTAATACATACAAAGCACTTAGTGAATGGCGTAAGGCAAGCACATTAAATGTTAACTATGAAGCCTTTTAAAATTGTCAACACAGTAACCATATGCAAGTTTTGTTATAACATCTTACAACTGAGAAAACAAGTTATTCTCAATTTAAAAAATGTGTATTTCCCACATCTGTACATACATTGTGGCACCTGACTTCAGTTAATATCTACAAAAATCTTTCCCCTAAACTATTTAGACTTTAGATTTTAAATTTCCAGAGGGGCCTCCCCGGTGGCGCAGCGGTTGAGCGCTGGGTTGCGAAGCTGCCCGCAGCCTCTGCAGCGCCGGTTCGATCCCCGGCTGCTCCCCGGCCACAAGAGGAGGGTCCCGCATGGCCCGCAGACTCTCCTGCTGCCCGCTGCTCCCCTCAGCAGTGTACTTCGGTCCTTCTGCCTGCTCTGCTCCCTGCTCTGGCTCTGGTGGATTCTCTCACCCTCCCGCGCTTCTGACTGTACCCAGTGCATGTATAAACACAACAAAAAAACAAATAAGTAAATAAAACATGCCTCTATTAAAAAAAAATAAATTTCCAGAGAACACTGTTTTATAATCACCTTAAAAAAACTGCATTAATATCGAGTCTCATCACTCCTCAAAATGCGTAGGGTCATGAAATTTTCTTCCCAGGTACTGCGAACTCTCAGCTCTAGCAACTCCATCCAACCTCTCCCCACACTAACAGACATGACCAAACTCTAGCACAGCTTCTACCAGCTCAAGGTCACATCCTTGGATGACTCTGCCTGATAAAGTTCATTGCTACCAAAAGAATTTACTGTTTGTTCCAGCAAAAAGCTGACTGAAGGCCCTCTACCTTTTCTGAAAGAATTTACTGTTGTAAATTATTTCTCTACTCCTTGAGATATAAATCTTTTATAACCTTTGAAAAGTAATTTTTGGGGGGGGGGGCTCCCCGGTGGCCTGCGGGTTAAGTCTCAGTGCTACCAATTGCAGCAGCAGCTCTCCTCAGTGACCTGAGCCTGAGTTCGCTCCTTGGCCAGTGACCTAACTTCGCCTACTGCTCCCCTCAGCAGTGTATTTCAGTAGATCTGCCTGTCTTGCTCCTCATTATGTCTCTGATGAATCCTCTCACCCTCTGCAACTCTGGCCTTCACCCCAGTTCTTCTATGCAAAAATAAATAAAATCTTAAAAAAAAATTTTTTTTTCCCAAGGACCAGGAAGCCATTCCTTTGAAATGTAATCAAAATATCCACCTCTGTTTTTCTCTGATAGTATTCCAATTTGGGGCTACAGAAATTAAAGAATGAAAATAAAGAATTTACAAATCTTGGGAGTCCAGTTTTAGAGATACCATTACAACACAGAAAATAAATCAATGGTACCTTTCAGACCCCAACTGACACCAGTTGACACCAGTTGCTCAAAACAAAAGGATAAGCTTGTAGTGGGGATAATTTACATTTCTGAAAGGAAAAGAGCAATAATTCCTCCAGGATTTCTGGCAATCCTTGTGCTTTTGTGGGGACTGAGGGCCTGGTAGGTGAAAATGGAAAAAGGCACCAGATTTTGTTTAGCTAATAGTCCCCCCCGTCACTGTTCTAATCTTACAAAATGCTCATTACTTGGGCTCCCAAAGCCTGGTACCTTCCCACTCTCCACCCTCAAACTTGCTAATCTAAATCCTGAAATCTGTCTCAAAGGAGGAAAAGGAGTTGGGCCCAAACACAGAGGATTACCTTCACCCATTAATTTTCAGTGCCAACCGAACTTTGTGTAATGATGGAAAAGCTCTATAAGTGCACTTTCCAACAGAGTGGTCACTAGCCACATGCAAATATTAAGCATTTGAAAGGTGGCTACTGTGACTAAAGGACTGACTTGTAACTTTATTTCATTTTAATTAAAACTGATATACTGGGCCTCCCCTGGTGGTGCAGCCTTTGAGCACTGGGCTGAGAGGCTGCCCGCAGCCTCTGCAGCACTGGTTGGTTCCCCGGCCGCCGGTGAGGGTCCCACAAAAAAACAAAACAAAACAAACAAAAAAACTGAAATACCCACTTTTGCTAGTGACCATCACTCAACAGTGCAGGTCTAGATCTCCCAGAGTTGTAGATCCTACTAGTATACCATGGATTCAACCTCAGAGTCCCTCTTAGGAGAAATGGAAAGAGAAGGATTTTTCTGAAGCTACTCTGGTTAAACTGTGATCTGCGGACTAATGCTCCCTGATATCCTCTCATTCCATGGGGGTAGCCTCCAAGTCCTTATATAGATGATGACAAAAAATTGGCATATTTCTTAGCTACCAAATTCTGGGATCCAGGAGACCATAAACATAGGGATAAGGCAAGGTGGAGAAGAAGAGAGTAGCATGGGGAAAAAAAACTCTAGTTAGCCGGAGTTTGAATCCAAAATCTTCTAACTTCAGAAAGGCACAAAGGCTTTGGAATGACAGGTTTGGGCTGATTTTTCCTATAGTTCTGGATTACTATGCAATTATTTAACTTCTTAGACATCAGTTTTCTGTTTTATAAAAATAACATAATATTTTTTACAGTTGTAGAAAATAGAAAATGAATTATAAGGTAAAAACAAAAGGGGGGTGAAGCAATCGTATCTACAAATTTGTCTCTTGTTTATATCTTGGTTCAACAAACTGCTTAAAAATATGTGTGTGTGTGCACACACACTGTAAATAACATTAAAAAAATACTGAATGACTATTTGGTGATATTAGGGAATAATTTTGGTTTTGGTGTAACAATATTGTGGTCTCATTGTTTAAAGGAGTTCTAATGAGGGTCTCTAGGATATACTTCAGTATAACACAGCTGGTTCCAGGGGACCCAAGGGAAGGAGAGGATAAGAAGTTATGAGTGAAATCATGAGTTAATGGAAACTGGGTGATGGCAACTATAATGGTTCAACCTAGTGTCTCTTTCTCTGAATATGTTTGAAAATCTCTGTCAGTGTTTTTGAAAACCTAGTATAATAGTGGACATATAAGTGGTTGGTCCTGCAAGCCCAGTGCTTTTTAAAGTACATCTTATCCCTTTTGTCAATCAAGGAGTTTTACTACCTCTCAACTCTAGATGGCTTTATAATTGAATTTTACCACACCTTTAAAGAAGAACTAATACCCAAGTTGCTCAAATTGTTTATAAAAATATAAGAGGGAATGACCACTAACACATTTTACAATGCCAACATTACCCTAAGACCAAAAAGAGATAAAGACAGCACAAGAAAATTATAGACCAATATCCCTAATCAACATTGCTGTAAAAAATTACAATGAAATACCAGCAAATCAAATTTAATAATATATCACAAGGATTATATATTATGGTCAAGTTGGATTTATTCCAGGGATGTAAGGATGATGTAACACATATGAATCAATGTAATACACCATGCTAACAAAAGCAAAGATTAAAATTGTGTGACAGCAATAATTGTTTCAAAAGAAAGCATTTGAGAAGGTTCAGTACCTGTTTATGACCAAAAACTCTAAATAAGATAGAGATAGAAGGAACCTACTTCAACATAATAAAGGCCATATATTATAAACCAACAGTCAATATAATACTTAATGAAATCAAATACCTCAGAATTAACATAACTAAGGAGATGAAAGACCTATACAACAAGAACAACAAGATGTCATTAAAGAACTTAGTGCTGTAAGAAGATCTCTTGCTCATGGATGGGGAGAATCCATATAAATCAAAATGACTATCTTATCTAAAATGATACATCAATTTAATGCTATCACCATCAAAATACCAATATTTTGCAAAGAAATTGAACAGAAATTATTAAAATGTATATGGAATCATGAAAGGATACAAATAGCAAAAACAGCCCTGAGAAAAAAAGAAGCAAAATGCAGGCATCAATTTACCTTACTTCAAACTTCACTATAAAACAATAGTATTAAAAACAAGATGATACCAGCATAAAAATGGACATATGGATCATTGAAACAGGACCATGAGCCCAGAAATAAATTCATATCCATATCAGTACTTAATCAACAATAAAGCAGCTATGACCATACAATGGAGAATGGAAAGTCTCTTTGCTAAACTGGAAGGCTATGTGTAAAAGAATGAAGTTGGATCACTACCTAACGCCATGTACAACAATATCAACCTGCTCTCAAAGGAAGTGGGGGAGGATTTGCAGGAAGCCCTAAAGTATCTTCCCTATTAATGTCGTCCAGATTATGTGGGGACTGACTGTGTGATGATACTATCAGTCCGAAGAACAGATCTTTCTTGCTGAACTCTTGCTGTGTGCAATAAGCAGGATTTTTGTTATGTGGGTCACAAACATGTTTTGAAAGAAAAGGAGACAAAATAGTTACCCATGGCCATCTGTGTAGGAACTGTCATCATGTAGTAGCGAGGCATGAGAACACATTCAGTATCAGGGATGAATTTCAGGAGTCTACCATGCTGTGTCTGTTATGTGGCAAAGCCAAAGATACTATCAGTACACATACAAAAAGTTCTTATGACCCTAACAAATGACTGCTTTTCTAGGGATACTTCTGCACCTTTTTTGTGACTATGTTGTGATGGTTTACAGCAAGTCTGATGGTTTGTCTTACCTAGCTCATTGAAGGAAAAGAGAGAGAGAGGAGGATACAAGAGATCGGGGTTTTCTAGAGATAAAGACGGTAGACCCCTCTAAAGCTGGGACTTAAAAGAGTCAAACATTGGGTAAAGTTACCGAAAGAAAGTTGCTTAGGTAGGAGGAGAGAAGGGCTGAAGAAGACACAGGCTCTCTGACAGACTTATAGTCCAAACTAATTACACTCGGGTGGTGCAAAATGACAAAAAGAGTCTCAAAACCCCAAAAGTGGTTCCCCAGGCTCCTGGCAATAGAAAATTCTTTCTGGAAACAGAGTAAATTCTACTCTCATACTTGGTCACAAAGAAATCCCACAATTTTTCAAAATTAATGGACAATCATAAAAAATAACCAGTCACACAAAGTACCATATACCTTCATTCTAGACATTTTAAAAAATTTATTAGCTTCTATGAGAGCAAAGTTGTATTGCAGATTAGATCCTGATTTACTGTCTTGTGATCAAAATCTTACACATTCTATTATTTAATAAAGGGATCTCAAAGGACCACAAAATTGCATCCTAAGTACTCAAAATTTTATTTAGAAAAATGCACTGGATATGAAAATTTTGAGATACAAACTCAGTATTTTTTAATGAATTCTACAAATTTGGAGTCTTAATGAATTCTGCAAATTTGGGCAGAAATTTATTGGCTCCTCCAAATAGTTGCATGCATATGATACAATGTAATAAATATTTTAAAGGAACAATTGTTCTTAGTTCTATTATCACAAAAGCCACCTTGAATAGCAAAAAATGCTACTGTTTGTACTCAATTTCCTCTGGAAAAAGCCACATATATGTAAGACAGCTTTGGTTTCCAACATCCAGACATTCTTAGTAACCTTATCAACACTATCTTAACACATAATGATACAATTTTGCTACCATTACACTTTAAATGTAGATTAGAACATTCACTATATTTTAGGAAACATTTAACTCAACACAGATTGTCAAAATGAGGCTTCTCATGTTAAATTCCTCCACTTCTATTGGTTAATTTAAAAACGATGAGCGCTTTTGGTCTGTTAGTTTAATCATATTACTTTATGTAAGTATGGACTATAATTTAACATTTTTGGCCAAGTCCATAATTATAATGATAAGATGATATATCTAAATTACTTTAAAAGTCTAGCTTGGTAAAAATTACAGCATATTTCTAAATCATACTTATCTCACATTCCACTAAAGAAATACCTTCCTCATATACATATTTTCTCATACTTTCTCAAGATAAGTCATTCAACAAAATATTTCACGCTGACTACAAAATAAATGGATTAAGAAAAAAACCTGAGTTGTACATAACTCAATCTGCTTTCAAAATGAAAAATTATCTTTTCAAGTTGCTGTGGACCATTCACCAAGATCACATATCCTAAATAATGAAAAAAAAACCTTAATAAATTGAAAAGAATTGTAATTGTACAATTCTGTTTTCTGACCATATTAGAAATTAATGACCTCAAATTAGAAATCAATGACAGAAAGACAATAGAAACATCTTCAAACACATGCAATATAAACAATCCACTTGTAATTAACCACCTAGTCAAAGAGAAAGTCTCAAAAGAAATTTAAAATTACTTAGAATTGGATGAAAATGAAAGTACAGCATAACAATTTTTTTAGATGTGAGGCATCTAAAAAAGTGCTGGGTGGGAAATTCATAACACTGAATATTTTCACTAACAATGAAGAAAGAGCTAAAATTAATTTCTTTCCTGAAGAAACTAGAAGATGAACAAAATAAACACAAAGATAAAAGCAGAAATCAACAAGTCGAAAACAGTAAAACAACAAAGAAAAACTAATGAAACAAAAAAGCTAGTTCCTGGAGGGGAAAATAATAAACTCTATAAAACCCTGGTAAGACTAACAAAAGTGTGTGTTTGTGTGTAGAGAAAGAGAGAGAGACAGACAGACAAACTGCCAGCATAAGGAAATACAGGATTATCATTTTGGACTTTGCAGTCATTAAATAGATGACAAGTTGTTCATAACAACTCTACATAAATTTGTCAACTCGAAAGCCATGTATCAACTTCTCAAAAACTATTAACTACTACTCTCAGTCAAGATGAAATAGACAGCCTGGACAGTCCTCCCAAAGAAGAAATATCCAGGTTGAGGTTTCCCGGGACAGTTTTAGCAAACATTTAAACAAACACTAACAGTGATTTTATACAATCTCTTCCAGAAAAGAAAAGGGAATACTTTCCAATTCATTTTATGCAGCCAAAGATCTCCTATGAATTCATATACAAAAATCCTCAAAAAATTATCCGCAAACAGAATCAAGCAACATAGAATCAAGCAACATAGAGAATATGACATCATGACCATGAGCTACTTATTTCAGGTATGCAAAACTGGTTCAACATTTGAAAGTCAATCAATTCAATCCACCATATCAACAGGTAAAAGGAGGAAAAATTTTATACCAACTGATGCAGAAAAGGCATTTAACAAATCTAACATCATTTCATAAAAAAAAAAAAAAAACCCTCAAAATTAGTAATACACAGAGAACTTCCCTAAACTCACAAACAGCATCTAATAAAAACCTACAGCTAACATTAGCTTTAGTGAAAAAAGATTCCTTTAAGATTAGGAACAAAGAACGGTTCTCTTTTGTTTTCAATTTGGATAATTTCCATTGATCTGTCTTCAGGTTCACTGATTCTTTCCTTAGCTGTGTCAAGTCTATTAATAAGTCCCCAAAGATACTTTATCAAGTATTTCACTATGGCTTTTATTCCTAGCATTTCCATTCGGATCATATTGTTTTCACCCTTCTACTGAAATTAACATCTGTTCATACATTTGTCCACCTTTTCCACTAGGATCTTAAATATGTTTTTCATTGTTATTTTAGATTCACTGGTAGTTCCAACAACTGGGTAAGCCTGGGTCTAGTTCAATTATTTTGATTTTTGACTGTGGTTTATTTTTTCTTGCCCCCCCCCCTTTTTTTTTAAAGATTTATTTATTTATATGAGCACTGGGTACAGTCAGAAACACGGGAGGGCGAGAGAATTCACAAGAGCCAGAGCAGAGAGCAGAACAGGCAGACTGACAAAACACACTGCTGAGGGGAACAGTGGGCAGCAGGAGAGGTCTGTTGCGCCATGTGGGACCCTCACCCGGTGGCCGGGGATCGAACCGGCGCTGCAGAAGCTGCAGGCAGCTTCGCAACCCAGCGCTCAACCGCAGCGCCAACGGGGAGGCCCTTTCTTGCTTTTTTTTAATGTTTCATAATTTTTGCCTGAATCATGGGCATCATATGTAATAGAGTACAGACTGAGAAAATAGAGTTTATGCCTAAAAATGGGCACACCTCTTCTACTAGGCTGTTGTGTATGTGAGGGAGAGGGTACTGAATTTATTCAAGAATCATGCTGGGTTTGACTTTATGATTACCTTCAGTGCATTATCAGCTGCAAATTTCTCTAGTATTACCTTCCTCTAAAGGGTAGTAGCTGGTTTTCCAAAGGTTTCTTTTCTCAGTTCTTGCTCCATTCTCAGCTTTAGGCTTATCTTGAATGTGGGAGTGAGAGGATTCACCAGACAGAGTGGGGAGTAGAACAGGTATATTTACTGAAATAAATACACTGCTGAGGGGAGCAGTGGGTGAGATAAGAGGTCTGCTGCCATGTGGGTTAACTCCCAGGTCGGGGATTGAACTCACGCCACACAGTGGCTGGCAATACTTTGACAACACTGACTTTAACCCCTGCGCCACCAGGGAGGCCCACCTCCTAAGACTACTTAGTGTCTGTTTCAAGTTAGCTCAAAAAGTCAAATGATTTTTAATATTTCTTATGTAGCAACAAAATTAGTCTGAAAAAAGAAGTAATTCACCACACAAAATGAAATCTGTTGGCTATTTCTCCAATTTTTCAGAGTATATACATATTAAAACTAAATATTCTTTGTATAAAAGAAAATACAACCAGGGCCTCCCCAGTGGCGCAATGGTTGAGCGCTGGGTTGCGAGGCTGCCCGTAGCCTCTGCAGCGCCAGTTCGATCCCCGGCCGCCGGGCAAGGGTCCCACATGGCGCGCAGGCCTCTCTTGCCGCCCACTGCTCCCCTCAGCAGTGTACTTTGTCAGTCTGCCTGCTCTGCTCTCTCCTCTGGCTCTGGTGGATTCTCTCACCCTCCCGTGCTTTTGACTCTACCCAGTGCCTGTATAAATAAATAAATCTTTAAAAATAAATAAATAAATCTTAAAAAAAAAAAAGAAAAAGAAAATACAACCAAGTGATCTTCACAGGATATTTAAATCAACTCTATACCTTCTTTCCATACGTTTTTGTGGTGGAGGCTTGGTTCTTTTGTTGAACATTAGTACCTAGAGAGCTTAAACAACAGATTAATGTGCATATAAAATATTCTGACTTGCTCAATCTTTAAATTGGTCCCTGCCTTACCTGTTGAGCAATATGAGAAATATGAGCTCCCTGAACTGTTGAACCTGGTTGAGGTGCCGTCTCTGAAGTGTTACTCTTGTGGGAATCTTCCATAATCAACTATAAGGGAAAAAAACATCAGTTAAAAGTTGCTTTCCAACTTCACTTTCAAGAAATCTTAACACATTTCTTTTAATAACATGCATACCTTTTTCCAGAGGAACAGATAAAGCTTTTCTATACTACGTTATCCAGTATCCAGTCTCAATATGTTATCCACTCTCAATATGAGAAAACAGCCAAGTTATCCAGTCTCAATAAGTTCCCACAATTCTGTTATAGGTGTTAGCAATCTAATATATTAAAAAATGGCAAAAAGTGGTAAAGAATATGTGTAATATACTGCATAGTTGTATAAAACTTGGTAACTTGGTTGTCTCCATGGGAGAGAATTGTAGTTTTATTGTGCAGAGATAGAAAGTATCATTATTAACATTATTAACAAAAACCACACTATCTTGGACAATTATTACAATCATTTTTCCTAAAGAAAGAAAAGCTATTTTCTAATATTTTAAAAAGAGGAATCAACCAATCAGCTTTTTGTTCCCCAAAATGAAAACAGTATTATAGTTTCAAACAACTATATACACTCTGTATTTTATGTTATCAGAGTATAATCTTTATTCTGATCTTTTTTTTAAGCTAGTAATTCAAAAAATGAGGTGAAGATTAACAAGATGTTAAAATTTTGCTCTAACACAGAATGAATTTTGTGTTCAAAGGCATTTTGAACACATAAAAATATAGCCCAGGCAGCAGGTGTAAGCTTAACATATGACAACCCCAAGTAGAGTAGAATCACACAGGGACAGTGAAACAGCTGCTAGAGTGTCATCAATGGGAATTTGGGGACCTGAGAAATCACACCATAATATCCTAGGAAATGTTTAATGGGTATGAAGAAAATTCTGTAGAGGTCATCTGACGGGAATGGCACGAGTGGGTGTTCGCAGAGCAAGGTGATGATGAATGCCAGAGGACTTGGATCTCAGCTAAAATACAGTGTTCTAGTCACTGAGCTTTCAGCAAGTGGACCTTTTGAAAGCCATGATCTTCTTTGAAAAGGTTTTTCTTCAAATATTGATGAAATTCATATGGAACTATGAAACACCTCAAATAGCCAAAGGTCTCCTGACTGAAAAGGAGAATGTAGGTATCACACTCCCAGATGTCAAACTATACTACAAAGCCATTATAATTAAAACTGAATGATACTAGAACAAAAACAGACGCATGGACCAATGGAATCATAGAAAACCCAGAAATAAACCCACATATTTATGGACAACTAATCTTTGACAAAGAAGCAAAGAATATGCAATAGAAAAAGGACATTTTATTCAATAACTGGTGCTGGGAAAACTGGAATGCTACATGCAAAAGAATGAAGCTAGACTACTACCTCACATCATGTCCAAAAACCAACTCAAAATGGGTTAAGACTTGGACAGAAGACCTGAAACAGTAAAATATATAGAAGAAAATCTAAGCAAAACACTACATAACACACATCTCAGTAACATCTTCAAAGACACATGCCCCAAAGCAAAGAAAGTGAAGGAAAAGATGAACAGATGGGATTACATCAAACTAAAAAGCTCTGTACAGCAAGAGACATCAACCAACACAAAGAGAAACCCTACTGGTTGGGAGAAAATTTTTGCACACAATACTACTGATAAGGGAGAGATCACAAAGATCTTCAAAGAGCTGATGTGACTCAACAAAAACAAAGTAAACAATACAGTCAAAAAAATGGTCAGAAGAGTTAAAAAGACTTCTCCAAAGAGGAAATGCTAATGGCCAACAGGTATATAAAAAAATGTTCAACCTCCCTTATAATCAGGGAAATGCAAATAAAACCACAATGAGATACCATCTTACACTAGTGAGAATGGCACATATTAAAAAACCAGGAACAAATGTTGGTGAGGATGTGGAAAAAAAGGAACTCTCCTATGGCGCCTGTGGGAATGCAAACTGGTCCAACCACTATGGAAAGTTACTAAAAATAGAGCTTCCATATAACCCAGCAATTCTACTCCTGGGAATCTACCCAAAGGACAAAAAAATTAATTCAAAAGGATACTTTCACCCCTATGTTTACTGCAGCACTATTCACAGTAGCTTAAGATCTAGAAACCACCCAAATGCCCAAAAATAAATGACTGGATCAAGAAGATGTGGTACATATACACCATGGAATATTACTCAGCAATCAAAAAAGATAAACTCATGCCATTCACAGCAACATGGATGGAGATGGAAGGGATTATGCTCCGTGAAATAAGCCAGAAAGAGAAAGAAAAATATCAGATGGTTTCACTTATAGGAGGAATGTAGGAGAACCAAATAAAGATCAGGAAAAAAATAATTATCATAACACAATTAATAGGCAGCTATAAATCAGAGACATTCTGCAGGGGAGGGAGAGGAAGAGGGATCAAAACAGGAGGGAAGAACACAGGGACTATGGAGATGGTGCACGGATGAAATGGTGGTGGGAATTTTATGGGGACGACACCTGAACGGAGAAAGCATACATTGTACAAGGAGGAAGAATGATGTAGAATATATATAACATTTTAAAAAGTGGAATAATTAAAAAAATAAAATTTTTGTTACAATTTAAAAAAAAAAAGGTTTTTCTTGCATGAAGAATGAACTTTTATCCAGCCAACCTCTTGAATTGTCAGGAAAATTTCTAGCTCAACCAAGATAAAATTAATTTTTCTACAATGAGAAACATCCAGTGTCTATTTGCCCTACTAAAATTACAAACAGGACCTCCCCGGTGGCGCAGCGGTTGAGCGCTGGGTTGCGAAGCTGCCCGCAGCCTCTGCAGCGCCGGTTCGATCCCCGGCTGCTCCCCGGCCACTGGAGGAGGGTCCCACATGGCGCGCAGACCTCTCCTGCCGCCCGCTGCTCCCCTCAGCAGTGTACTTCGGTCCTTCTGCCTGCTCTGCTCCCCGCTCTGGCTCTGGTGAATTCTCTCGCCCTCCCGCGCTTCTGACTGTACCCAGTGCTTGTATAAACAAAAACAAACAAACAAACAAATAAATAAATAAAACATGCCTCTATTAAAAAAAAAAAAAAAAAAAAAAAAAATAAAATTACAAACAGAATTCAAGGTGGTGCAACAGGTTCAGTGTCTTCCGTTTCTTCCAAGCTCAAACCTTTCACTGGATATTTGGAAGGGTAATGATGAGACTACTGCTTATGAAGGTTTTTTTTTTTTAAAGATTTATTATTTATTTATGCATATAAGAACTGGGGTGTAGGCCAGAGGTGCAAGGGGGGTGTGTGAGAGAGGATTCACCAGAGACAGAGTGGGGAGCAGAACAGGTAGATCTACTAAATACACTGCTGAGGGGAGCAGAGGGTAAAACAGGAGAGGTCTGCTGCCTGCTGGGAGCTTGATAGTGCTGAGACTTTACCCTGTGCCACGGGGGAGGCCCTATGAAGGTATTCTTAATGACCCATCAAAGGGAACTATACTTAATGGAATATAACCGTGGTTTACTGTAGTGTGCTATTCATAAAAATAGAGGAACTGCATCTTGTTTGTGATTTTAAAACCTCTAATTTATATTAAAATAATAAACTTCTATGTCTTTGAAAAATTATTGTTATAAAACTGTCCACAGGTTTTCCAATTCAACTTATTTTCCATGTATTCCATACATTTGTTTTTGAAAAAATATTATCACAGTAGTTTCTTCAGAATAAACATCTGTAATCAATTTCAGTGGTAACACTTCAGATTAAGTACAAAAAAGGTATTTACATTTATCTTGTTTTGGTATAGTTCAATAATACTCATAACAGTTGCTTTATTAATGCTACTTTAGAATTTTAGCTGTTTTTTAGGTCTCTAAGTTCAGAGATTTTGATTTTGGCCGGTTTAACTGTTGTGCTGTATAGATTTAACATATATTTAGCAAATCGTTAAAGAAAATTCTTTTCTTCTGATTCTTTATATCTCAAGATGCTTAAATTAAAAAAAAACATGTACACATACACCATGCACATGAACAAATACCGTAATTATTTTTAAAAAAATCTTCACAATGGTTATTCTTACAAGGTATTCTTTATCAACCTGGCATATAAATATTAAAGATTTTTAGATTAAAAAATAAGTTCTGTAGATTGGCTGTATAACACTATAATGTAATTAACACTACTGAATTGTGTAATTAAAAATGTTACAATGGCTAATTTTATGTTGTATTTTACCACCACTATAAACTTTTTAAAGCAGGCCACTCTCCTGCCTGCCTGTGTCTATGCAGGCATCTTTTAATAAATCTGTCCCTTTCATAGGCAGCTTTTTCTGTCCACTTATGTCTGTGCAAGCATCCTTTTCTTTCCTTTCTTTTTTACATAATAAACCTGTCCTTTTGGATATAACTAAATGTCTCTTGCTTCGTAGGGAAGCTTGTTGTGTGCTGCTGAAAGGGGAGCTCTGGGGAAACTGTGCTCTGACGTAACCCAAGGACCCCGCTCTCAGAACCCAACACCTCTCCAAAAAGACATCATCAAAACTGGCACCCAGTGTGGAGCCTTCACAGCACAGGTAAGATTTCTCCCGCTCCTCTTCAATCGAGAGACATACAGCAGCCTTTACTGTCTTTCTCTAGGAAGGGGTTGGTGTCTGGAGGGCCCCTGGACAAGGCTATAAAAAAATTTTTTTTAATAAGAGTTCCACTCACTAATAAAACGTGGAGCTTAAACCTTCATATATTTTTTTTAATTTTAAGATCAGAAAGCAGAAATTCGGGCCTCCCCAGTGGCGCAGCTGTTGAGCGCTGGGTTGCAAGGCTGCCCGCGGCCTCTGCGCGCCTGTTTGATCCCTGGCTGCTCCCCGGCCACCGGAGGAGGGTCCCACATGGCGTGCAGACCTCTCCTGCCGCCCGCTGCTCCCCTCAGCAGTGGACTTCGGTCCTTCTGCCTGCTCTGCTCCCTGCTCTGACTCTGGTGAGTTCTCTCACCCTCCCAAGCTTCTGACTGTGCCCAGTGCTTGTATAAAACAAACAAACAAACAAATAAATAAAACATGCCTTAATTAAAAAAAAATTAAAAAAAAATTAAAAAAAAAAGAAAGCAGAAATTCATTCTTTACATCTAGATTGAAACTATTATTTTTAGCCTTTCAGAAAAAGTATAAAATCACCACAAACACAGAATGTTTTTAGTTTAAATGGGAATAAATTTGGAGAGCTGCAAATCATGCCAGATTGTGATCCTGCTGATATATAGAGAATACAAGTAAAGGCATGACATTTTTAAGAAAACTTAAAAGAAAGGATTGTATGTATGGCACTAAATTAACAGCTTTTTAATTCATTACATATCTTAGACTTCCTATTTTAGAGGTGTATAAATTGAAGGTTGAAGAAATTGCCATTTAGGTGGATCACACAATGATATGAATGTAAGACCTGAAGCCAGACCTGTATGACACAAAGCCCAAGTTCTTTTCATGCATATCGCCCCCTCCAGGAACACCCCTGCCCCCAACTTGTCCACCTATCAAACTCCTACTCTCTTTTCTTTCAAGTTCTACCCCAAACATGTTCCCAATTGCTCCAGGTCCTGCCTTCCTCGGCAAGATGCTTCCACTACCTCTTGCAGATATATCTGAGGTTACTTAACACTCTGAATTGACTTTATTAACACATGTGTTTCCCTCAGTCTTAAGGCACCTCCTTTGTGTGTCCAGCTAAGACCCTCATATAGGCAGTAAATACAAAAAATCAACAAATACACCACAATATAGCACACTCATCTGATGAATGAAGAGGATCTTTAGATCCCTCACCTGCAGAGGAAGTTGAACTATGGTAATCTTGAGGGCAGGAGTCTTGCTTAACATTTCCACAACTGAATTCATTATCTCCACTCAAAATTGCTATTAGTCATACTGAATTTCTTGCAGATACTCAGATGTGCCTACCTTGCTTCTCTCACCTTCAGGCTTTCACATATGCTATTTTTCAGCCAGAAACACTATTCCTGGTCTCTGCATGTGGCCTTTTCCTAAGTTATTCTTCCAGGCACACTTTCCTAACTCCCCTTAGCCTGGTCTCACTCTGGCTGCATCCCCACTGCACTTGTCTCCCTTCTCTTCTCATGACATTTACCACAGTATTGTAATGACCTGTTTTCCATCTCCCCGCCAGTAAGCAAGCTCTGGTGAGTCAATGATGACATTCTGTTCCCAATATAGCACCAATACCTTGCACATTTATTACTGCTGAATAAACCAACGTGCTCGGTTGGGTTAACCCATCTTAAAACTGATAGAAATAGTAATTTCGGCCAAAGAAAACACCCTACTTCAGAGTTAAAAATTCATCAAATGAGATGACATGCGCAAGAGCATTTTTAAAAGGGAATACCCCCTACAGGTGATACAGTGCTACAGGCATACACGGGCCAAACATGACCTTAAAGGATAAATACGGACAGAGCAGAACATTGGGCTTTGGAACAGCAGCATAGTGATTCTAATGGAGACTGAGGGGACTGTACATTTTATAGGATTGTTTATAATGGGAAAAGGTGTAAGAAAAGTAACATTTTAGTAGAACTGCATACTTCTGCTGGGAACTGACTGCCCAGGATAGATGCATTTTTGTGAACATAAACGTGCTGCACAAACTCTTAAGAGAGGCCAGTTAACAGAGACGCTTGCCACATCTCTGCGGGAGCAGCTTTCCAAGGGGAAGGCTCGCAACGGCTGCCACCAGCCCGCTGCTTCTCAGAAGCTAACAAAACCAGCAGACTTTTTTTTTTTTAACATTTACAAATTTTCTTAAGCAGTTAAGCGGCATGCTCGCTTCCTGGCGTGGGAAACACACGCTCTTCGGGACACAGGAGGGGGTCTGCGGGCGCGTCCGCGGCCGGGCCCTCTGCCCCGAGGCAGGGACGACCTCTGCGCACCCCGCCTCGCTGCTCCGCGGCTGCCCTTCCCGTCGCCGCTTCCCGTGTCCGATTTACCGTCTCCCGCCTCGGCCGCCGGCTCCCCGAGGGGAAGGGCCGCTCCCGAGCAGCCCGAGGCCCGGCACCCCGCGTTCTCCCCGCTCCCCGGTGGGGCCCAACGACCTCGGGTCCCGCCGGGCAGAGGCCAAGTCCACGCCGCCCCCCGGGCTGCCCAGCCCACCCCGGAGACGCTCCCCGGCGGGCGGCCTCGGCCGCGGGTCTCCTCTCCGCGAGGGGCAGGCGGCGGGAGGCGAGCCCCGCGCCGCGGGCGGCCAGAGCGGCCCCGCCGGAAGCGCGCGCGGCCGCGGCCCCCCCGCCCCTCCCGCTTCCGCCGCGCGCCCTCGGCGCCCCTCCTCCACCCGCGCCCGGCGCGACCCCCGCCCGCCGCGCGGCCGGCTCGGCGTCCCCGCCGGCGCCGCGTCCCCGCGCCCTCCCGCGGCCCGGGCCCGGCGCGCGCCCACCCCGCCCCCACTCACCTGAGGCCGCCGCCGCGCCGCGGTCCGGGGCGGGAACTCCACTCCCCCTCCCAGATGGCTCCGAGTTCACTCCCACCTCCCCTCCCCTCGGGCGGCGCGGGACGGGCCTCCTCCTCGGGGGTCGGCGGGGCGGGGCGGGGGGCGCAGTGTCACTGGCCGACCGTCCTAGGCTGCTGTTCCCGCGGCAGCCGGGGCCGCCCCTGGCGGCATAATCTCCACAGGCCCGGGCGGGGGGAGGGGGCGAGGCCGGGTGAGCGCCCGAGGGGCGGGGCCGGGCGGCCTCCGCGCGCGGGCCGTGGCGTCAGCGCGTCGTCACGTGCTGCGCCGCCATCTTGCGCCCGTTTCCTCAGGAGGGAGAGTGGCGCTTCCTGAGGCTCCTGCCTGGCGGGCGTTGGGGTTGGAAGCGGTCTGCGGTTCCGTTCCGCCGGGAGGCGCTCACTCGTTTGTTCGCGGGGGAGAGAACCTCTGGGCGGATCAGGAGGCCGCTCGGCGGAGCAGTCAGCTCCTCCGGGGCTGGGCGGGGGCGTCCGGCCCGCAGCTGTGGCTCCCGCGACCTGCCCCGCGCCTGACCCGCCCGCTCTTGTAGAAACAAGTGATTTGAATGGAAGCTTCTCCTCAGCTTCCTAGTTCACCCGGGCTATTCTTAACCCCACAAGATAGCCTTGCGTGCGTGTCTGTAACCCCTGTGAAGGTACTTGCTGCAAAGACCCCTGAGGGAGAAAGACAACTCGCTGCGGGAGCGTGTGGGGCCGCGCCCCGGCGGGCGGGCCGACGCGCGCATCAGCTGCGGAGAAGCTGCCTCGGCGTGTTCTCAGGGAAAATGTCACACCCTCACTTCAGCATGTGTCAGCCTTTCTGCAGAAAGTTATGCATTGTTTTCCTTTCCTTGGAAAATGTTCCTTTAAGGCTTTGTAGTGATAAGTAGTAAACAGTAAGCAGTAAATAGTAATAAGCAGTAAGTAGTAAATGGTAATTGCATAGTAGTATGCAATTTTTTCCCCCAGTTGTTTATTTGGGCAGACCCATGTTGGGGGGGGGCTGCAGCTAAAAGGAGGGGTTGGGCCTATTGGCTTGTGCTGGTGAGGCAGGACAGGAGTGAGGCACTGGAAACTTCATCTTGGAGTTGTGGTACCGCTTGCTCACCAGCAGGCACTTGATGGCGCCTAATCTCCACCTGGAGATTAGGATCTAGCATCCAGTTGGAGCTAGTTGGAGGGGTCCTGGGACCGTGCCCAGCACCCTGTGTCACTCTACCACTGGGTGATGGTGCATAGGTGGTCAAGCCCCGGCGTTCCTAGAGCGTGTTGTCACTGTGGAGTTATAATAGCATATTCCCATGTTGTTCGCCTGCATAGGGGTTTCTGGAACACTTGCTCCAGTAGACAATGTCCCCTGAAGATTTCATCTGAGGCAGGAAGTACCAGGTGCAAGACTTGGCATAGAAATGATTAAGTGAAGATTTGCATGTAGTATAGGGGCAGTGTGGATGCAGCCTTTGGGGGCGAAAGGGCACCACCTTGTATTATCATGGCATGCTGGAGGACGTCATGGCTCGCTCTCCTCGGTTGGCACTGCCAACACACAAAAGGTTAGTATGCTTTTGGCAAAATAAAAAGTTTCAAACTGTTCCTGAAATTGAACGAGTTTGAGATTTCCAGTGTAGGAAACTGATTTAGGAGATGTCACTCCTGAGATAAACAGAAAATACAAATTCGTGAATATTAAGGATTGATGGAATTTTAACATTGATAACTCCATTTTAAAGGTTTCTTTTAACACTAGTTTCCTAGTTCTCTTTTGGGAAAATTAAGGTTTTATTAACTTTAATAATGGGAATTCACTGATTATTTAAATCATCCTGTTGAAGTATTAATTACTGAACTTTTAGGTGTACTTTTGACTTTTTATTAGAGATTGAAAGAATTCTGTTTATAAATGAAATGTGTCTTATAAATGAAATGGGTTTTGTGTCACCTTGAAAACTATATTATGAAGCAAACTGATGTGAGCTTTCACAAATGCTTACCATTTAGAAATTATGGCTTTAAGGGTTAATCAAAGTATGAAATTAAAAGTAGTGGAATAATAAGGGAGAGTTATCTCTGTATATAAAGAAAGTTGTCTTCCATTAAAAAAAGGCAGGTAAGGGCCTCCCCTGGTGGCGCAGCGGTTGAGCGCTAGGCTGCCAAGCTGCCGGCAACCTCTGCAGTGCTGGTTCCACTCCCAGCTACCGGGCGAGGGTCCCACATGGCATGACAGACCTCTAGCGTTGCGCCCGCTGCTCCCCTCAACAGTGTATTTCGTCAGTCTGCCTGTTCTGTTCCCCGCTCTGGCTCTGTTGAATTCTCTCACCCTCCCGCGCTTCTGACTGTACCCAGTGCGTGTATAAATAAATAAATAAATCTTTAAAAAAAAAAAGGGCAGGTAAAAGGAATGGAGAGAGTTAGTCTTTAGTTGAAGATTCGGAGAGTATAGTAGCTAAACCCTTGGTAATTAGAAACCCACACTACTGAGGTTTTGCATGGTCCCCATCTCTGCCAATGTGGCTGCTACGTTCATGTCGTAGGCCATGTCACTGCCCTTGAATCTGTATGTTCTCACTTTGAGCATTTCTTCCATGCAGAATGACTGGTGATTTTAATATTTGCCCACTATGAAGATTTTCCTTACAACTGCCTTGCAAAGTCATGCCTGTGAATGGCCATAACACACCATAAACCAAGCTTCAGCCTTTTCTGCCTGCTTTTGGTGGATTCTTCTCCATACTCCAAGATCACTAAATGTATACGGTAAGTGAAGAACACCAGTGCAACTGGGGTGTGTTACATGGGGTTCTGGGTAGCCTGCTCACGCAGCTTGCGTGTCCTCTGGTCCTGCTTATGCTCAATTTCAGGTATAGCATTTCTGCCTTATGATGGCTTTGTGCTGGACGTATTTGTGCACAACTGTTGTGTTCAGGCCTTCAAGATTTGGATCAAGTTCTGTGTTTCCAGTTCACATTTAGAAAGGACAGTCAGGGTTCTGTTTTTTATTTTGTTCTGTTTTATATTCAAAAGGGCAGTTTATTATAAAAAGGGAAGGGACGTCAAGGATGCTTGCACAGACACAAGCGGGCAGAGAGAGCTGCCCCTGAAAGGAACAGGTTTGTTACAAGAGAGGCTGCTTAGTCCCAGGTGGCAGCCTCAGGAGGAAAGCTACCTCAGTGCTTTGCCAAGGGGAAGGTTAGTGAAGAGCAACACCTGAAGTCAGAGGTGGGCAGGAGAGCTGCTGCTGACAGTTTTAATCAATCCAATTAAAAGTCACACTATAGGAGCCTCCCTGGTGGCGCAGGGGTTCTTGTTCTATAATCCCAGTAGCTTACATTTATGGTTCTCCTACTAGATCTTGGTCATAAATGTCAAATTGCACACTCCCTTTTTTTTTTCTTTTTTACAAAATTGCCACCTCCACCACCCTGGGACTGTCAGAGTTATGGCTTCCAACCTTACTTAAAACTGTAAATCTGGGGCCTCCCTGGTAGTATAGGGGTTAAGTTTCAGCACTATCACCGCTATGGCCTGAGGCCAGTCCCCCCTGCCAGGGAGCTGACCCTGATAGGGCACAGCAGACCTCTCCTGTCTCCCCTTCTGCTCCCCTTAGCAGTGTATTTCAGTCATTCTGCCTGTTCTGCTCCCTACTCTGGCGAATCCTCTCACTGGCCCTCTCCCCCGCACCCCCGGCCTATACCCCAGTTCTTCTATGCCTAAATAAATAAAAATCTTGAAACAAACCAAAAACCCTGTAAATCTGAACCTAAACAGGCATGGAATGTATGGTCTCCAGAACCTGAAGAGGCCTACTAAAGATTGTGCTTCCTTCTTTGAGAAAGGGGATGTAAGATGCAATGATTTGTTTTTTTTTATGTATTAGGGGATGTCTTGGCATGTCCCTGATCTCTAGAACTCTTAATCTTCATAGAGTTTATTTCCCATCATTTGTATTGATGTAGCTTATATTAACCATTTCTTGTCTGTCTGATCAGATTGATGTAACATAACCCTGAGACACCATAAATTATTCTTGTCCATTATGTCTGAATGTGAACTATTTCTGATTATCTGTCTTCACTGGAACAGAAAGGGACATTTATCAGATCAATGGCAACATACCATGCAGGGAGACCAAATTAGTCGAATCTCACAAAGATATTAGATAAGGTGCAGCCCAAATTAGTCAGATCTCACAAAGATATTAGATAAGGTGCAGCAGTTACAATCAGGGCTGTTAACTTGGTTGAACTTGCAGTGGTGGACTGTTACCCTCCAGGATCCATGAGTTTCTGGAGGGACTAGACTTGTGAATTAAACAGAGCAGTGATAGGCACCACTACGTCTGACTCCTGATATCCTTAAAGGGTGGCACTAATCCCTACCCTCTCCCCTTGAGATGTAATATTATTGTTACAGATTTATTATCTTGGTTGGATTTGGAAACTTTCCTAGGCTTCTCCATTTCTGGACTTCCAGTTCTCTGATTGATAGGCCTATCTTTATGCCAGTACCAAACTGGCATTACATCTTTGTTGTAGATTTTGAAATATGGAAGTGTAATACTACCAACTTTTTTTGTATTCAAAATTGTTTTGGGTATTTTACGTAAGGTGGATTTTCATACGAATTCTAGAGTCAGTCTATCCGTTTCTTCAAAATAGGGAGTTAGGTTTTTGAAGGCGATTGCATTGAATCTGTAGATCAATTTAGGAAATGTTGCCATCGTAACAACTTTAAATCTTCAAATCCATGAACGCAGCAATGACTTTCGATGTTTTGTAGTTTTCAGTGTACAAAGTTACACTTTGGTTGTATTTACTAAGTATTTTATTCCTTTTGAGGCTATTTTAAGCAGAATTTTGTTTTGAATTTACTTTGCTGTATGCAATTCTCTCAAATTCCGTTTTATTGATAATAACTGCAGTTCATCCTTTCTTATGGCTGTGTAAAACCCCATATACAGGGCCTCCCCTGGTGGCGTAGGCAGTTGAGCGCAGCTCTGTGAAGCTGTCCACAGCCTCACGGCTGGCCAGCGAGGGTCCCACATGGCGCGGCAGACCTCTCATGTCACGCCCGCTGCTCCCCTCAGCAGTGTATTTCGTCAGTCTGCCTGTTCTGTTCTCTGCTCTGTCTCTGGTGAATCCTCTCACCCTCCTGTGCCTCTGGCCTGTACCCCGGTTCTTGTATAAATAAATAAATAAATAAATCTTAAAAAAAAAAAAAAACAACTCCATATACATACATACCAGCATAGTATCATCTTGGTCCAATTTTATGTCGGTGGACATGTATTCTGCATCTGTGTCCTAGCTATTGTAAATAATGCTGTTAGGGACATTGGAACATACAGGGTATTTTGGTTGATGGTTTCATATTCCGTGCATATATACTTAGGAGTGGGATTGTGTAGTCATATGGTATTCCCATTTTTAGTTTCTTAAGGTAAATCCAGATTGTCTTCCATTAAGGTTATACCAGTTCACATTTCCACCAACAATGTAATAGGGTTCCTTTTTCTCCACATCTTTTCCAGTACTTCTTGTTGAGGGTCTTTTTACTATGGGCCATTCTCACAGGTGTGAGATGGCATCTCATTTAGTGACAGTGAACCCTTTTCATATATCTTTTGGCCTTCCAGATACCCTCTTTGATGAATTTTCTATTTACATCTGCTTCCTGTTTCCTTTTCTTTTTTTTTTTTTTTTTTTTTAAGATTTATTTATTTGTGCATATAAGAGCTGGGGCACAGGCCAGAGATGCGGGGATTGAGAGGATTCACCAGAGACAGGGAGGGGAACAGAACAGGCAGACTGACGAAATACACTGCTGAGGGGAGCAGCGGGCGAGACAGGAGAGGTCTGCTTCACCATGTGGGTAGCTCCCTGGCCGGCTAGGGATCGAACTCATGCTGCAGAGGCTGCGGATTGCTTCATAGTGTGGTGCTTAACCCCTTGCACCACGAGGGAGGCCCTAATTGGTTTTCTTTGTTGTTGAATCCTATGATTTTTTTTTAATGTATCTTGGCTAGTAACCTGTGTCAGTTATATATTGTATAAACACTTTGTCCCATTCAGTAGTAGTGTCTGTTTAACCATCTTATATTTTCTTTCACTGCATGGGAGTCTTTTTTTTTAAATTTATTTTTATTTATTTATGCACACAAGAACTGGGGTGTAGACCAGAGGTGCAGGGATTGAGAGAATTAATCAGACACACAGTGGGGAGCAGAAAAGGCCGGTCTACTCAAATGCATTGTTGAAGGGAGCAGCAGGCAAGACAGGAGAGGTCTGCTGCGCTATGTGGGTCAGCTCCCTGGCTGGTCATTGAACTTAGGCCACAGAGGTGATAATCCTGCGCCACTGGGGTGGCCCTGTATGTTGGTTTTCTAACCTATACTCATTTATTGTTTCTAATAACTTTTTGATGGGGTCTTTAGGATTTTCTTTCTGTGTATATCATCATCTGCAAATAGTTATAGGTTCACTTCTCTTCTGACTTGGATTGCCTTTATTTCCTGTGTTTCTGATATTACTAGCCCAAATCACTAACACCAGATTAAATAGTAGTGACAATGGGCTTCTTTGTCTTGTTCCCCATCTTTTTTTTTTAAAGATTATTTATTTATGCATACAAGAACTGGGGTACAGGACAGAGGTGCAGGGGGTGAGAGGATTCACCATATACAGAGTGGGGAGCAGACTGACAGAAATACATTGCTGGGGGGAACAGCAGGCGAGACAGAAGAGGTCTGGTGCACTCTGTGGGTACCTCCCTGGCTGGAGATCAAACTTGTGCTGCAGTGGCTGCAGATAGCTTTATAGTGCAGAGACTTAACCCCTTGCGCCACCAGGGAGACCCCTTGTTCCCCATCTTAAGGAGACAGTTCTCAGTTTTTCACTATTGAATGTTCCATTGGCTATTGGTTTATATTTAGGCTCCTTCTATTAACATGTTTTTCAGTTTTATCATAAGCAGTTGCTGAGCCTTATCAAATGCTTTCTCAGCATCTACTGCTATTACCATATGGTTTTCAACTTTCTTTGATATGATGTATCACATTGATTGACATTAATTACATCACCCTTACATCACGAGGATAAATCCCATTTGATCATGGTGTGTAATTCTTGAGTTATACTGTTAAATTTCATTTGCTAGTATTTTGTTGAAAATTCTCGCATTGATGTTAATCAAGGCTATTGGTTTATTTTTCTTATGCTGCCTTTCTCTGGTATTAAGGTAATGTTGGTTTTGTATTTTGAGGAGTAAGCATTCTTGTATTTTTACATTAAACAATTTGAGCAGGTGGACATTAGTTCTATAAAAGTTTAATAAAATTCATTGTAAACCCATCTGGTCCTGCGCTTTAGTTTTTCGGGTTTTTTGAGGTTTCAGTTTCCATGCTTGTGGTTAGTTTATTGATCTGTTTCTTCCCGGGCTAGTCTTGATACAGAAATTTATCCATTTCTTCAGGGCTATTGAATTTATTGGCATATAGTTGTTCATAGTAATTCTATGATCCTTTGTTTTTCTGTGCTGTGGTGATCTTTCATTTATTTATTTATTTATTTGGTTAGCTTAAATAGAGGTTTTTCTGTTTTATATTCTCAAAGAACCAGCTGTTCTTTTTCATCATTTTTTGATATAGACTTTTTGATCTCAAATTTATTTTCATTATTTCCTTCCTTCTACTAACTTTGGTCCTTGTTTATTTCTCACTTTCAAGTTACTTTAGCTGTGATATAAGACTGTTTATTTGG